ACGTAGGCTCAACCAGGGGTGCCACGTTTTCCTGTTTTTTTCTCGTATCCTTTCTTGCGCTGTCGTGCACTTTCAGTAACCCCCCTCTCTTCTCCCACACGACTCCGGTCGACTGACTAGTCTATCCTTGGGTTGTTCAGATGTGATGCTACGCCATTGAATGATAATGGGGTAAAGAAGATTGATAATCGTCAGGTACGAGGACGGGACTGATCAGATCGACATGGAGTGCATATCAAGATCTCAACCAGCGGACATATGTCCGAGAACATCTCCTACCCTGGGTAGGTTTGCTCGTATATTCACTCCTGCGGTGTAGTTACTAATGTACTGACTTCGCTACCAAGAAGTGATTCTACAGTAGCTTGATTTCCTCCAGTCACAACCCTCAACTCAGTCTGGGAAGGATGACAAATTGGGACAGCAAGATCATACCACTCTGGCATAGACACTGCCAATTTTGGAAGCATCGTGATGGGGATGAATGTTTATTCGAGCCCACACGTCCCTTGAAGCGTTACATCATCCCGTATATGGGCCGTATACGGGCCGTTGTACAATCGATCTAGACTGGACCGTCGTCACATTCATATGCCGAGCGGTATGCAGGTGGCATCAAAAAATAGCAGCAAATCCGAGTGCTTATTATCGAAGCGGAGCTCAGTCCGGTTCAGACAGTCGGCGCTGGGTCCGGTGTGTGTGAGAGGGACATATGCAATAGCTTTGTTCTTAAGAACATGGGGGTGGAAAGGGAGAAAGAAAAGAAAGGAAAAAGAGAGATGAGGCTCACGAATGACCCGATCCGGATCGGGCATCGTTAAACTGAACAGTCCCTTTGGTATCAGTCACCGCTTATTCAGCAGATACATACCTCTATTGTCGTGTGTTGTGTCGGCGCTGACACCCTGGTAGGACCCTGAGTAAAGCAGCGTGTAGTGTTGCAAAAGGAAGGGAAACGAGTGAGGTATGGGTTCTCCAATGAAAAACATCGGAGCTACCGCCGTTGGATTGACCCCCAGATATCGCCATCGGGGCTTGATTGGCTTGATGCCATCTTGTTTCTCCCTCTTGAGGCAAGCCTCGTCAAAGATTTGACTCCTTTGGGAAGTGCTTGCTGGACTTGCTAGGGTTGAATGGGAGGTGGAGCGAAGTGGGCTGTCCCCTTGAACTTTTTTTTTTTTTTTTTTTTTTTTTTTTTTTTTTTTTTTTAAGGATTCGGGAGTATTCAATGTGGGCAGTAGGTACGTAGTGTTCTCTGGTTAGACTTTGTGACCGGCGTTAAGACCGGCGGGGCGGGGAAACTTGGGAGACCTCAAAAGAGACAAGTCTGGACCCCCCCCACCGACTAACACTTTTTTCCCGATGACCCTTTGGGCCCAAGATCCAGCAAGCCAACGGAAACTATGCTCGCGCACGTGCACTAGCGAGGCTAGATAGAGGAAAAATGATGAGAATAAAATTATCTGACCGTGGGAGAAGAGTGAAATGAGTGGGTATGACAAAACTTTAGGTCAGCTCAAGCCGCCCTTCGGCAATTGAATCGGCTGTGTACACCACCATGTGTGCTCACGATGATCCACGTACGATGTCGGCGTCGTCGTGCTGGTCTGTCAGTGCTTTGTAACGCAGCTGCCCTGGTCCGACTTGGGCGCCTTGACCGAAGCCCCCCCCGCCATGCGCCCTGCCTTGCCTTTCAGCAGCTGAATGAAAGGTACATGCCTCCTTGTAGAGTCGTATCGGCAAATAGTGAGGCACTAGCCTTGAGGGCAAGCGAGTCCATGTGAGACGACGCGAGTAAAGGAACAAAACGGTCGAGATGCCTGGTCGGGCATCAAATGGGCTATGTATGCAGTAGGGAAATTGAGCTGTGTGTGTAGTATAGTGTAGTTGTTGAAACTGGAGAGAGGAGGAAGGAGGATTGAGATTGAGACACGGGTTGGGAGCAAACGACATCCGTTGGTCAGCCGTTGCAAAGCGTCCCCCCGGTCCCCTCTCCGCAACCGCACCCATTTCGGGATCTCACGTCGGCGATCGCCCTTGGAGGCTGGGCCACCGCACGCGGCTGGACTTGGCTTGGCCCAATGCTGCGGTACCCGCCATGCCATCGGTTGGCTCGACCTTCGCTCTCGTTCTCGTCTCTGGTTGTTGTTGTTTTTCATGTCCGATTTGGTCCAGCCTGGAAGCCGTCTCGTCTCGTCTCGTTTCGTCTCGTCCAAGGAGTCCTTGTAGGGATGAGCAAGATGTGATTCGCAGGAACCAGTGTTTATGCGCCCGGTTTCCTAATCGCGTCAAGTTCCGTTTCGGTTTCGTCCTTTTGAACCCCCCGACCCCCGACCCCCGAACCCCCGACTGTTAACCTGGCCATCTGACAGCGCACATGGAAAGGGAAGATGCATGCACACGCAGAGCGGAATTGACGGGTTTCCACTCCGGACTGGCCGGGAGCCATTCAATTTTCTGGAAGGTTTTGAAGAAGGCTTCTGGAAGTCTGCGTGGTGGGCGGTGATTGGGTGTGCCGAGGGGATGGGGAACGCGAGGAACGTTTGGAATGGAAGGGTGACAGCGAGTGAGTGGGTGTGTGTGAAAGGATCATGGTGGCGAATTTGTGATGGTTTTTTTTGCTTAGTTACCCCTGAAAGCAACGGCAGCACCGAACAATTGGCACCGGGAGCGGGCTGGCGGGAGGGGAGCGACTTCGCGGCTCGGCTGCTGGAGGAGGAGGAGGAGGAGGAGAAGGAATGGAAGGTTGCTGCGAAGTACATGGTGTAGGGGGAAAAACGAAGGAAGAAAAAAAAAAAAAAAAGAAAAGAAAAGAAAAGTCACTGCAACTTTGGCGCCACCGTTGATCGAACCCCTGAATATCCATCCGCATCCGCACCGCACTCCACAGTCTCTGAGCTGTTCAACCCAGCAAAAAAAAAACAAAAAAAAAAAACGTGTTGACCGATGACGGCATCGACACCGACTACAAAACTCGAGACATGATTACACTAGCTCAGTCCTTGACATTTTAGCCTTTTCCCGTCCCGTTTCACATCTTTGTTTTGGAGTGGTAGATCATGATGACTGGAAGAGAACTCATTGCTCCCGTTTGAGAGTCAGGAAAAGGGGAACATGACCGAGGGATGGATGGATGGATGGATGGACGGATGTTGAGACTACATATCATGAAGACTGCTATCCACCATGCGACCATGTTGCAGACGTAGCTGCATATCGCAGCTGTAGGTTAAATGAGATGTTTGATAAATCTGCGAAGGACGGCGCGCAACAAGTTCGCTGCAGCCCACTAACCATTCAGTGACTTGAATTCCTCCTCCTTTTCATGTGTGTCTCTCATATCAATGTCTCAGCAGCAACTGAGAGGATTCCATTCGCGTTGATCTCCTTCTCGGCATCAGGTCACGCACGATTCACCCTCTTGTCCGACGTGGGCGCCGGGTGTGCAGAATCTGGCTTAGCACAACCCTACTATCCGAGGCTCTGTCGGTCTTGGTACCGCTCGCTTCCCTGGCCTTGTCTTACGCCATCTCCATTCGCTGTGCTGCCGTGGTGCTGAGATTTTAATGCCATTTTGCAATATTGTGGCTGCATCGTTTCTCATCAAAAAATCCCAAATATCATGATGCCAAGACCTTCTCATGGCTCATCCCGTCATGCTTTCGTCTTTTGTGCTTTCATCCCTTCCAGGTCCGTCTCTGTCTCTGTCCGTGCCTCGATGTTCCACACCCGTTGGTGTTCCTTTTCCTTTGGTTCTTCTTGGCATCAAGATAGTCACCACCCTTGCAGCCTGTCGGAAACATTTGAGTGGAGGAGTGAGGACCGGACGGCACCAGAGCTATCTGAACACTACTACCTCTACACTAGCTGGACCGTCCACTGGTACATACTGCTGAACTGAGCTACTACGGCCTAGTGGATAAAGTAGGAAAACGCGTGCCGGGTCAGGTCGCTGACGATCTCGGGCTGGCAGTCGAGCATGGCCCGGACGAAGCTTCGCTTGTACTGGTTCGTGCTCGGTACCTGACAAGGGGTTTTCTACCTCTAGCATAGGTACACAACTTTCATGGCTCGCAACCGCAGGTACCCTAAATACGTACGCAGGCGGGACTCGGGACGGGAGCTGCAGAGCGAGGTACCTGGAAAGGTACCTTTTTGGTTGTTGACTGCCGGATAATTTGGCCCAACTTCACTTTTTCCTCTCTCTCCCCCCCTCCACACGGCACCCACGTCGTCCACACCCACGTCGTCGTCCACCCACGTCCATGTCCCACGGGCTCCAGTCCAGTTCCCTATTTTAATTGGAGTCCCTCTACCCTTAACCTTTTTTTGTGCTCACCTACCTTACCATCAGGGACCAGCTCTCTTTGCTTTTTTGGGCTTCCATATCTGTCTCCATTTTCCCACCTCCAGTTCTCGTCTATTTATCTGACCTGGTGATTCATTTTTCATCTTACAAGCGGATATCTGACCCATCCTCCCCTCCACCCGAAAACCAAAGAGACCCCGTCGCCCAACCGAGAGCCGCACTATTTTACTCTACAGTATCTACATACTCCAGCACTTCCAGCTCGCTCCTCTCCCAGGTTCTCCCAACTTTCGCCTCCACGCCAGGATCACCCCCCCTCATTCTCGGCTGTCACTGGGAAACTCTGTTTGTGCGGTTCGCCAATCGTTCCCAAGACATTTCCTTCCCAGCAGGGGTTTCCCGACAAACCAATATCAGGGGAACAAACCACCAACTCGATTCTCCTCTGCTCTTCCTATACAACGCCTTACTTCCTCGTCTATATAGAGGCATTGCGTGTTTTGGGAGGAAGATAATCGTAATCTACAAAAGACACACGGCGTAGCCAGCGAGCGAAGTGGTCCAGCACATTCACATCGGCACACCGGCAACCGAGGCCAATTTTCGCGACCCCGCGCATTGAAGTGGCCCCCCGCTCATTTCAGGAGCCAACAGGGACCAAGCGACTAGAAGCGAAGCATCTCCCCCAACAACAACAACAACAACAACACACACACGCATTCGCAACCCGAGGAGCAAACACACACTCCGAACCAAACACCCCACGTAAGCACGACAAACAAGATGGCCGAAAAACCGTCGGTCCTCATCATCGGTGGTCTCGGCTACATTGGCCGTTTCCTCGCCCTTCACATTCACAAGAACAACCTCGCTTCCGAAGTGCGCATTGTCGACAAGGTCCTGCCCCAGCTTGCCTGGCTGGCGCCCGAGTTTGAGGAAGCGTGCGCGGGACCCAAGTTCATGCAGGCGGATGCGAGCAGAGAGCGTACGTCTCCGACCCCTCCTTGGGGATTTCACCATCCCCCCTTGCTTCCACGTTTGCGTATGACACTTTGAGCGCGAAAGTGACTAACACATGCGCGCGCATATACAGAGTCTCTTCAGAGGATATTTGACCGATCTAACGGAAAGCAATGGGACTACGTCTTCAACTGCGGCGGTGAGACGCGCTACTCACAGGAAGAGGAGGTGTACAAGCTGCGCTCGCTCGAGCTGTCGTTAGCCGTGGGAAGAGAAGCCGCCAAGCGGGGCGTCAAGTGCTTCATCGAGCTGAGCACGGGAATGGTCTATAAGCCGGACTCGGCGCCTAGTAAGGAGCAGGACAAGCTGAAGCCATGGAGCAAGATTGCCGTTTTCAAGCTGCAGGCCGAGGAGGAGTTGGCCAAGATTCCAGGGTACGTTTTTTTCGGACTTATTGACTCACCTGTTGACCCACCTACCCACTACTTCGTCGTGTATGCGCATTATTCGCTGACAACATCCTTTTCTCTTTTCATCCAGACTCAACCTCGCTATCGTCCGTCTCTCCCACGTGTACGGCCCGTACGCGTCGCAATGGGTCGCGACCGCCCTCTGCATGGCGCGCGTCTACCAAGCCCTCGGGTCCGAGATGAAGTGGCTCTGGACCAAGAACCTCTGCACCAACACGGTGCACATTCACGACGTGACGCGCGCCCTCTGGCAGGTGGCCGAATGGTACGCGGCCGGTAAGGCCAATTGGGACGCGGCCAAGATGGGCCCCACCCCGACCTTTAACGTGGTCGACAAGGGCCGCACGACGCAGGGCATCATGGCGGACCTGATCGGCGACGTGTTCGGCATCAAGACGGGCTTCCAAGGTACCATCATCTCCAACTTTGCCAAGATCCACCTGCACGACGTGGTGGAGGACGTCAACGACGAGCTGCTGGGCCCTTGGGCGGGTCTGCTCGAGGACGCGGGGATAACGAAGCCGGGACCCCTGACCCCTTTTATGGAGGCGGAGCTGCTCAAGGATACCGACCTCAGCATGGATGGTTCACGGCTGGAGGAGCTACTCGGGTTCAAGTATGAGAAACCCCAGATCAACAAGGAGCTGTTGCAGGAGGTTATCGAGAGCTACAAGCGCATGAAGTGGTGGCCTTAGACATCACCGGACGGACGAAAAAAGGGGGGGTACAAAACACAATTGGAACATGTTTAAAAATCTTGCCGGAGTTTATCATGTCTTTTTTTTCATTCTTCATTCTTTTGGTCGATTTCGGTTGGTCTGGTCGTTCGGGGGTTCAGGTCGCGATGCGTTATGAGCCTTTTTTTGGTTGGTTGGTTGGTTGGCTGGTTGGTCGGTCGGAGGATAGGATTTAGCATGAAAGAGAGGAAGGGAAAAAGAAGGAGAAAGGAGTTGAAACTGAAATTACCGTCGTCATCGTCGTCGTCATCATCGTCGTCATTGTCGCCGTCGTCGTCATCATCATCATCATCATCATTATATTTCTAGGGCAAAGGCTGAAGCCTCCCAGGAAGAAGCTGTTGTTGCCAGTTGCTGGACTATGGTATGGGTTATTGTACTATTAGGATATCCTTTTTTTAATAAGTGTCTGTTGTTGTTGTCCTTGGTGGAGATACTAGACCGGGTCTTTACTTCTTCTTGGGCGGTGGTGGTGAGTGATGGAGGTCGGGGCTGGGTGCTGGAGACTTGGAACGAGACAGAGAGGGGGGGTTTTAAATAGAAAGACTCAATACACAAGGAAGCTCATGACAATGAACTCAACCATTGGACGTGTTGACGCAGTGTTGGTAGTCGCCTTCGTAATGGATGACAATGATATTTGCTAGAGGTAGGGAGCGCTCATGTTGGCATTGCCTCATGTTGGTGGTGGTGAAAGAAACACTCCAAATCCAACACGAAAATCCCCCAACAATGGATACAATATTAAGTTGGTCGGTAAGTTTCAGTTAGTAGTGTATGTGACGGTCAAACAGCGGAAAGAGTTTCGAAACGGAAAAGAAAGAAAGAAAGAACAAGCAACACCAACGATGGAAGGCAACGCCAACACCAACTGAACATACTTATCGAACTTGTATTTTATTTCAATGATCTTTTCAACGCCAAAGATGCACCATTCAACTTGCGCGTCCACTCCTGCTGGTTTTGTGGCCTTGAGCTCCAGTCCCACGGTACAGCATTCCATTCGCCGCCAACTCTAAAGTCTAAAGTGATGACTTTCAGAGACAACGGTTTGATTCGTGACTTTCTCTAGATACATACACACACTACGGAACGTGAATCTGATGCCAATCTTGGGGGGAGTTGCCATCCCGGTGACGGAGTCTCCTCGATTTAGTTATGTGGCTCCACAGTTGCCCCAGAGGGGACCAAACCACAGTCGCTTTACTACCTACTCGAGTAGACTAACCGGCGATTGAAACGAATTCACATGTCACGAGAAAGACCTATACCGCGGAGCGTGAGGATTGCTTAGTTAGTACTTGGAGCTAAGCTCATAGTGTGGCGTAGATGGTTGGGGAATAGCTCAAGAATAAGTAGCTCAGGAGTAGGTAGCTTGGGAGTCAAGGGGTCAAGGGGTTAAGGGGGGGGGGGGGGGGGGGGTAAGCTATCTACATACATATACTATCTCTATGATACAGTGTAGTGTATGGGGGTAGAGGGGTCTAATTACCCCGCATCTACCTTTTGGTTGTATCCTTTTGCAACGATCAGTGAGAGAGTTAACGCGACTGTTATTCATTTTCCAATTGTCCAACGATTTTTGACGTAAAACTCTGTAAATATCTGAGACGTTCCGGAATCGTATATAAGCAGGATTGTTTTCTTCTCGAGTGATTTGTGGGTAAGTTCGTTGCAGTGCGCTAGGTCTGCCTTTTCCAAGCTCCCGGACCAGCACTGCAGTCACATCGCATATCATGTCAGGACAGCATGTTCCACATCGCAACAACCTACGGGCGCGTCATCGCATTCATGTCTTCAGGGCAAGGCTTGCGAGTCAATTGAAGACGACCTAGTGACCGGTATTGACTTCATTTGAAGACTACTCACTGATGACTGACTAAGTAGTTCTAGGCCACGATTTCCACCGAGTCCTTGTAGTCTTGTTGCTCAATGAATTGATTAAGGTATCGAGACCATGCGTGCGAGGTGCCCGAGGGGATGTGCTGCGTAATAAACCGAACTAAAGACCTGAGCGCCGAGAGACCCCCACCCTTGAATCAAACCCTAGACATACCCCCCTCCCCCTGAGCTGAAAGGGGATCCCCCGCACGCCCGCTCGCTCGACAAAAGAAGCATCCCAAAAAAAAAAGACAAGTCGCGACGTCACTGTTGTCGCTTGCTGGGATGATGCTCGCTGCGGGGGAGAGAACTGAACTGTGAAAACTGAACCGAAACTGCTTGCCTCGAGCCACTGTGAGGATGGCCAGACCATGGGTGCAGCGCCATATTCCCATATTTGCGCTGAACTTTCATCAGACTGCACTGCTTGCCTCATCCATTGGAATTGTACAGAGGTGGGAAAAGTCCTACGATCTTGCATTTGCGCTTGCGACGAGTCGGATGAGATCCGCATCTGTCAAGTGTTGGATGAGGCCGGCTGGCTGGCTGCGACCTGCAACCTGTCATTCCTTCTGTGTGCGACAGGACGGGCAGATTAAGTGGGTGGGATGGAAGATTGGGGGAGCACCTCAGCCCGCGCATAATGGATGTATGTGGAAGCCAGCCGTTTGCCTCGGTCGGGACCGATCCCGATGGAGCTCGTGAAAGTCGCTTTTTGGAGGTTCATCTGGTACCTACCACAATGGGTATTAGATGCGCTTTACTTTCAGTGATCAGGTACCGCCGAGAAAGCTTGGAGCGGTTCCTTGTGATGTGATGGTCCAAGGTTCCCGGGGAGGGATCCATTCCTATCGATGTCCTGCCAAACATATCCATGTCCATCATTGTGTGTCTGTCAAGCATGGTCCTCGCTGGCTGCATGCCCGTTGCGAGCTGTGATGAATGATGCACCCCACTTTCGGCCGTGTGGTTAGGCGGGTGGTGGGTGTGGATGTTTTGGGTCTGATGTTAATGAAACGTACCTACATATGCTACTGCTGTACATGTGAGCTTACTAGTAGGAGGTATAAGATCAATGACGACCCTGGGTTTTTCTTCATCGAAGCTCTTTTTGTATTTCTCTCCTTTTACACTTTTCTTCTGAAACTGTCAAGTGCTGGACCAACTACGTGCATATTATATACCCATCCATCTGTAAGTACTTACCACTATCACGATAATCACCGTTGGATCCGATGCTCTCGTGCTGGAGAAACCGCCCAGTTGCGCCGTGTCAACAAGCCAGCTACAATTCCGCGAAATCCGCGATTCAGAAATATAAAGAAGGCAACCCGTCGCTAACTATCATCTTCCCTCTCCCAGTCTTCCACAGCTCATCTTTTCCCCCAAAACAAACAACCAAACAAAACCATACAAAATGGCCGCTCCCGCGAACAAGACCATCGGAGACCTCTCCGGCAAGTGGGTTATGGTACGTTCTTTCTTTCCTCGCTGCCCTCTCTCTCTCACACACATTCACCAGTCTATCCAGTCTATCTATCTATCAGCACACCTCACTCACTCACTAACCACCCTTTCTCAAAAAAAAAAAAAAACAGAACAAATCCCTCTCCTCCGACGTCGACCCGGGCCTCAAGCTCCAAAACATGAGCTACCTCACCCGCAAACTCATCACCTCCGTCACCCTCACCCTCGACATCAAGCAATTCTCCGCTCCGCCCTCTCCTCCCGCCGACGCCGACTCCGCGCCCGCCGTCATCCACATTGAGATCGACCAGACTGGCACCGGCGGCATGAAGGGCACTTCGGAAAAGCGGTGCCTCGACAACGTCTTTCGCGACCACAAGGACTGGCTGTTTGGGCACGTCAAGGGGCAGACGCGCTGGGTCAGCAGCGCCGAAGAAGTCGAGGACGCCTTTTTGAAGAGCGGCTGGCTCGAGGGCGAGGAGGAGAAGACGGGTCCCAATGGCGAGACGCACGTCTTGTCGTATGTGGAGAGTTATACGGATGGATGGACGGCGACGCAGGTGTGGGGGTTCAAGACGATTGAGGGCGAGCGGAGGCATGTGCGGAATGTGGTGATTGCCAAGGGAAGCGAGAGGGTGGAGTTGCAGTTGATTTATGATTACCTTTCTTAAATGTCCCAATGGGGGATACTTGTTGTGTTGACAGTGGTCATTGAGGTGTGTATTGATACCTAGCTAGACGATTTGGGGAATTCTACGGGTTTGAAAGCAATGTCTATCGAGTTTTGTGCTTTAAGCGTGGAGTGGTGACTATTTTGGGGTGATTGATGGTGATGCTCATGGTGGTAATCGGCATGGAGGAGAAATTCGGGGAACTTGGCGGAGTGGGACATCTTCATGAACCTGGTCCGGAAAAGACAGGTCTCTTTCGGCTCACTATCTAGGCAAGACATTGGAAGTGAAGAAATAAACTTTTGGCGGCGGTCTTTTGGCACATGTTATTCTTGTGACCTGACTCATGTTTTTGTGTTCATATGGGGCGTTGAAACATCCCCCGTCTTGTGTCGAGACGGTCAGATTGTTTACCAAGCGGAGCTCTGATGATTACTTGTATACTTCGAGTTGGTTTCCCCGTTAGCGTGTGCCCGCCAAAAACTCTCTTCTTCAGTGGGAAGCTCTGAGGGGATTCTCAGGCCCGACTGTATCTCTCCCCTGACAGCTTATGCGGTCATAACCATTGCTGGTTCCATGTTGAATGCTCCTGTGCCCGTACCTTCCCTTGTAGCGATATGATAAACCATCCATCCAAGCCTGAACGCCAATAACAAACCAAACAGAGTCTTTCCTCTAGGTTATCAAGGAACTAACGATTCTCTAAAAGAGCCGCAACTGCACACCTCCCCCGATTGTCGGAGGCTTTCGAGGCTGTGTCTGAGCCGCTGTGGTATTCCGATCCGCGATTCTCCGACATCCGTCTTTTGTTCGTTTCCGTCCTTAACACCCATCCTCCCTCTTCAACATCCCCTTACGCAGGCCTCCTCTTGACAAACTCCTCCAAATCCGCCACCGTCGCCACACCCAGGACGAACCGCCTATTCTCATCCGTGATGACAGCAAAGTCCTGCTTTTGGCCCGCCGTGGCAACGCCGGCGAAGAAGGCCTCGAGCTCCTCCAGGGGTGTCTCCATGGTGATGACCTGGTACTTGGCGGCGTCCTTGCGACGGAAGCGCATCATGGCGGTGCGCACCTCATCTTCGGGCTTAACCTCGCCGCGCTCGAGGCGGGCTTGCAGCTGCGGGATGGAGATGTAGCCGAGCAGGGCGCGGGTCTGCGAGTCGACGATGGTCAGGTGGGTGTAGTCGCGTTCAAAGGCGGAGAGGAGGGCGAGCGAGATGGGGTCCGAGGGGTTGAGGGAGAGGGCGGCGGGAGGGTCGAGGTCTTCTACTGTGGCCTGGGAAAGAGGTTAGTCTTTTGACAGGGGTCAACTAAGTTGATTTTCTTTTGGATTTTGAGTGATGCGGTTGGCTCAACACCAAGTGGCATGTTCACCATGGGAGACAGAATGCTTACCCCGCGATATCTGGAAGCCCATTTCGAGACAAAGGGCTGCTGAAGCTCGGGAATCGAGGGCGATCCTTCTGTAGTCATGGGCTGCGCCATGATATCAGTCATTGTGGTGAAATTGTGTTCAGGTTGGTTGGTAGTGTAGCCCAGGTCGGCAGTGCTCTGTGTCGTCGTCCGAGAAATTCCCGGGTTGTGATTGATCGTTGCTCAATTGACAAGTCTCGAGTCTGGTGAGCCAAAAGGATCCAATGCGCTGAAGAAGGCAGCTAGAACCACTTCTTTGACCAATCAGACATCGTCATCAGAGTTAGTCAGGGCGTTTGGGTCCACCAGGGCCACTCGCTACAGGGCTGCTGTGGACAGTGACAAACAGTGGGTGCACCGGCACTTTCCGTGGGCTGGTCCTTTCTTCCCTTCTGTCAAGAAAATGACTGGATTTTTCTCTGCTCTTTGCTGGAGGTTACTGAAGGTACTTTATATGCTCTCTTCACTTCCTCCAAGTGCTGGAAATCTCTATTCTCTGACCACCTTCTCAGATTTCGTGAGCCATAATACCCAAGAGCCCTTTTCGAACTCTCTTCAGGCTCAAACCCCTATTGTGTGACATTAATTCCATGTCAAAGCTAGGTATTGTAGTCAGGTACCTCTAGTGTACCATGTAGCGCGCTCGCCGGACCAGCACGATAAAGTGTCGTGTAGCGTGTAGGGCGAGATAAGGGAATGCCTAGTGGGCCTTCGATTGGCTGTGATGTCACACTGACCAACGACGTCACCAAAACAATCCGACCTGCCTCGAGCCTGCCTCCATTCAGAGATACCTTAACCATGTACCTCTCTCGCAACTCCAACGCTGCCGCATGACTGGCCAGCTTCTTTCAAATGGATCACGATTGCCCGGTTTTGGACCTTGATGGCTGCCATGATTGACGGACAGCCCAAGCAAGCAAGATATGAGATGGAAGGAGCTTGCCTTTCCCATCCGCGAGCCGGCCTACCCGGGACACACGGAGAATAACAACCACTCTCCAGCTTGACGGGTTTGGATTGTCATTGGATGTTCAGATCAGACCTTCTGCTATTTAACTGATTTGCTTCCATCCATCCAACGAAGTCTTGCTGGACGTTTCCTATCTATCATTGTCGCACAGTACCTTCCATCATCTATTTCATTTCTACGGTTCTCTTCAATCGTCGACATACCACGACTGGCACTAGGTCGCAAACGAATATTCATTTCGAGAGTTGTAAGTGTTTGTCTTTGCTTCAGTTCCGACACTCGGGTTGGTCATCATTTCCCGTGTGTCACGTTGGTCACTACCTAGCTCTCGGCTGTCTCACAATGCTACCGTTGGGTCGTTCCTGTCAGCACTACGAATCCTTCTCGGAACCAGCCCCTCATTCGCCTCGCGAAGCTTTCCGAGTTGTCCTCGTTTGACTTTTCTGGCTGCTTTTCTAACATCTCTCCAGAAATATTATCAGCAGAACCATTCATCACAAACACCTAGAGCACATCTGTCACGATGCCGAGCGTATACCCAGGACTCGATATCCTCCAGAACACGTTTGGTAGTTCATACCAGCCCAAGACCAATGGCGCGACTCCTCTCCAGGCCCGCACCGATCTTTATCCCGCATACTCGATAGTCGACGATGCGAAGAGCAAGGCAAAGAAGCTGAGCGCCGAAGCCGCTCACGAGTTTGACGTTGCCAGCCAAAAGGCCCAGGCCAAGACTGGACACATTGAGCTGTACTCCTCCCAATACTATGCCGCATGCACATTTGGTGGCTTGATGGCCTGTGTAAGTCTATAATACAGTGATATTGCTGTGCGTGCAAGAAAATGGCGGGACTAACTCGTTTTGTAGGGCATCACTCACACTGCGGTAACACCGTTGGATCTTGTCAAGACGAGACGCCAAATCGACTCGAAGCTGTACAAGGGCAACTTCCAAGCTTGGGGTCACATTCTCAGGCACGAAGGTGTTCGCGGCATCTTCACCGGTTGGAGTCCGACCTTCTTTGGTTACTCGGCCCAGGGTGCGTTCAAGTATGGCTGGTATGAGTATTTCAAGAAAAAGTATTCGGATCTCGCTGGTCCCGAAAACGCGCACAAGTACAAGACAGCACTGTACCTGAGCGCGTCCGCCTCGGCAGAATTCTTGGCCGATATTGCGCTCTGCCCCTTCGAGGCCATCAAGGTCCGCATGCAGGGTACCATTCCGTCGCAGTACAAGGGCACCTTTGATGGCTTCAGCCAGATCACGGCCAAGGAAGGCTGGGGCGGTCTCTACAAGGGTCTTTACCCTCTCTGGGGTCGCCAGATCCCTTACACCATGATGAAGTTCGCTTCGTTCGAGACCATTGTTGAGATGATCTACGACCGTCTGCCCGGTGGCAAGAGCGACTACGGCAAGGCTGCCCAGACCGGAGTCTCTTTCGTTGCTGGTTATGCTGCCGGTATTCTCTGCGCCATTGTGTCTCACCCCGCCGATGTCATGGTCAGCAAGCTAAACGCCTACCGCAAGCCCGGTGAGGGAATGGGTGCCGTCACTTCGAGAATCTACAAGGACATTGGTTTCAAGGGTCTCTGGAACGGTCTGCCTGTGAGAATTGTCATGATTGGTACCCTTACCGGTCTGCAGTGGATGATTTATGACTACTTCAAGGTCTTCATGGGTCTCCCTACCACTGGTGGTGCCGCACCCCCCGCGGAGAAGCCCACGCAGCACTCTTGAGCAGCCATATAGAATGAGTGATGATGGTGGAACGGATCAGGGCACCTTGAATGTCGGAGTTTAGCCTGGAGTTACAGATGCGTCTTGTGTGTTTTATGTCCTAGCAGTTGGTTAATGTATTGTTGCGAAAAGCTGCCGTCCAACCACTATTTTGCCCCTCAACATGGCAAGAGTGCTTGATGTTCCCTCTCATTCTGTATTGTTTGCTGGTGGAGCTTGTTGATCCCCTGCAAACTGGAAACCAGCTTGCAAGGGAAGTCGGGGAAGGAACCAGCCGGTTTAATCTCCCTCCTGTCCGTCAACAACCATAATGCCGCAATCATCAACTTCCATTGTCTCCTCTTTTCGTCCTCCTCTCGCTCTCTCAAACTCGATCACACCACGTCTTTCGAACATGCCCAGAAGCCTCATATCATGTCTCCAAAACGCCAGCCCCCGAGTCTGAATTAAACATCGTAGGTGCTAGAAACCTGAAGGATATAACTCAATAAAAAAAGCTAATATTGGTTGTTCCGTCGCCAGATGTGTGATTACCAACGATGAACTTCGACCCCGAGATGCTGCCATTGAACTGCGTCCCACCCACAATACCGCCTGTTCCTACTTCAGCCGGATGATTGTCCAAAACCCATGCAGATGATGATCAATTGAACCATTACCCCTGAGACTTGAGGTAGTGACCAGATGAACATCGATTTGATGTAGTGGTTGCTTCCGGCCTGGGAAATTCACCTTCAGCTGGGTGATTACGAAGAAAACACGGCCCCGGTCATTTTCGGCGAGGCTCCAGCATCCAGGCTCTTACTGGACCGTCGCCATGACAAGCACTGCCTCTCTTTTCCACAACCGAGCTTTATCCTCATTGGATGGGCGCGTGAACGCGAGTGCTGCCCAATGTCGCTCAAGAGGAGAGAACGATTGCCAGTGTCAATGGCTTTTCAACGCTCAAGCTAACTGCAATATTCGGATATCTTCAACTTTTCCGTGGCAAGGTCTAAAGGAAGGTTAATCTATGGACACACCTACTACCCATCAACCCTCCAATCTCTCTCGTCCAACCGGGCGTGACGGCTTTGAAATCGCGATAATATGTGCGCTCCAGGTTGAATTCAACGCCATGTGCCTGCTTGTCGACAATTATTGGGACGAAGATGGCGACCCGTATGGGAAGGCTGAGGGAGATCCGAATTTCTACACAACAGGGCGTATAGGAAAGTGCGATGTCGTTCTTGTTTATCTGCCAAATATGGGCAAAGCAAGCGCCGCCAACGCCGCTTCAAGCCTCCGCTCCAGCTATCCGCGAGTGTCTCTGGCACTTGTGGTGGGTGTCTGCGGCGCGGTCCCCTTCATAGGGCCAAAAAGGGACCAGGTGGTCCTCGGCGATGTCATCATAAGCAAGCTTGTTGTTCAGTATAACCTTGGGAAGGTCCTGCCGGACCGCTTTGCTCGGAAAGATACCGACCATGATCGCCTAGGAAGGCCCAACAAGATTCTCCGCAACATGCTAGCCACGCTAGATACAGATCTACATATCCAACGACTTGAACAACGGGCTGGCAAATTGTTGAACCATCTACTGAAGAAGAACGCGGAGAGACGCAATCGGGGGCGGAGAACCAGATACACCAGCTATCAGTACCCGGGAGTCGCCAACGACCGACTCTTCCTAGCAAACTATCGACACAAGCATGCTCCTAGTCACGGGTGCAAAACATGTGATGCCTGCCATAAGAGTACCGATCCCGTCTGTGAGATGTCCCTACAACGGCCGTGTGAGGAGCTCGGTTGCGACTGGAGTTATCAAGTATCAAGGGAAGGTCAAATGTTCTCAGGTCCGTCCGAGTCTGATCCTGTCAAGTGCTTCCTTGGGGAGATTGGGTCGGGAGACGGCGTCATCCGATCTGGCGAGCACCGTGATCAGATTGCCAAAGAAGCCGGGGTAATCGCTTTTGAGATGGAAGGTGCAGGAGTCTGGGACGAATTGCCATGTATTGTGATCAAAGGCGTCTCTGACTACGCCGATAGCCACAAAAGCAAGGCCTGGCAGAGCTATGCCGCGGCAACGGCGGCATCTGTAGCCAGGGCAGTGCTGGAAAAGTTTATCAACACTGCTAAGGTCTCATTCTCGGGTTCTCTGCAGTCTGTTGGCACGGCTCACGGTGATCGCACCAGTCGCGGAACGGCGTACTACAACACCAACATCGCGTCTTCGGAACAAAGAATCACTATGCCGGAATCTGTGTATAACACCGCCTGTGGAGGGGGGGAGTCTGTGTCTGGTCCGCAGGCCGATAATGGCAGTAACATCAACATGGTATCAAACTATGCTCAGGTTACGGCCAACAACCCGACAAACAATCCTGCACTCAGACCGCCCTTTTCCAATGTCCCATATCGTTCAGACCCTCATCATGTCGACCGCCCAAAGATCATGGAATGGCTTCGGAAAAGACTGTGTCCGCCGCCAACTTCTAGACACAGTCGAGCTGCACTTTTTGGACTTGGCGGCATTGGGTACGTGTGCATGCTCTGTGCAGTCCGATGTCTTAGGGAAACATAGGGCTCGGTTATCAGATGCTAACTCAGTGTTGTAGGAAGTCCAAGCTGGCCATCCGCTACGCCGAAGAGTTCCGTGGGAAACTTCCACAAGCCTACGTTTTTTGGGTGACTGCAGGCAGCAAGGAAAGCTTTGTCCAAGGATTTCGTCGGATTGCTGAAGACCTTCGGCTTCCAGTTCCTTCAAGTTCGGGCAACGATATGCTCAGACGGGTGCGGAGCTGGCTATGTGATAACGAGAACGTACAATGGCTCATTATTCTTGATAACGCGGATGACTACCGCGTGTTCAGGGATCAAAGAACCACTAGTGATGTTCTCCCAGCCATAGACTCGGAAGCGCTTGAGACGTTTTTGCCACAAACAAACAATGGCAGAATCCTAATCACGTCCCGGAGTCAACAAACAGCTGAGATCTTGGCACTCAGCCACGAAGATACTTGCTCTGTCCCCGAAATGGATGAGGATCAGGCGAGACTGTTATTCAGCAACAAGCTTGGTGACTGTGGCGAAAGCGAAGATATCGCACGGAAGGTCGTGCTCGCCCTGAACTGCATCCCTCTTTGCATCTCCCAAGCGGCGGCATATATCCATAAGCTACGGCCTCGGATGACGTGTGCTAAGTACTTGGAGAAGTTCAATGGCAGGAACCTCGTTGCTCTCAGCAGTCGTGACAGCATAGATCGATACAACCTTGATGCAAAAAATTGCGAAGTGGAGAACAAAACCTGGCAGGTCACTTTCAACCAAATACGCGACGAGCGACAGTCCGCTGCTGGTCTGTTGGCTTTGATGAGCTCCTTCCAGCCACAGGGAATTCCCGGATGGGTACTCCAGAAGCACTACAGCGAAATGGACAACGATGACAGCAGCATCGATCTTAGCCACAATGGTGAGGACGAGTTTGAAAATGATCTCATCCTGTTACGGGATTACTCCCTTGTGGCGGTGGCTCAAGATGGAAAATCGTTCCAGATGCACGGCCTTGTACAGTCCTTCACTCGAAGCTGGTTGGAAGCTTCGCATGAGGATCACAAATGGAGGCGCTGTTTTTGGCGACTGATGATCAAAACTTATCCCGAAGCTGAACCAGCAAACTGGCGTGTTTGTGGTGAATTAACGCCTCATGTGGAGCCCTTAGTGAATACAACTGGGCGTCAGCTCGAAGATTCAGACGAAACAATTTGTTTTGTAGAGCTACTCCGCAAAGTCGGGGGGTATAATCATGCCACGGCTATGTACGAGACAGCGTTGAAGATCATCAGCAAAGCCGAGCAACTGGCTACACAAAGGCTGGGCCAGCACCACGAACAAGTCTACAGAATTTTAACCACCAAAGCGATTATATTGGTCAACAGTGGGTCCGCGGCTGTGGTGGCTGCGGCAGAAGAAATAGCTCTTGGAGCATACCGAGGCTTGACCAGCCTTCTCGGCTTGGACAATCCGACTACCCGTTGTGTGGGAGAGATATATGCCCGATCCCTGGTGGCAACTGGAAAGCTAGACGAAGCGCAAGCCATATATGCGGAAATGCTAGAGTCACAGAAGGGTATTTCATCTCCCAATATTGTAGTGTCAAGCGCTACCCTCAACGGGCTTGGGAATATTGCCTACGCAAAAGGCAATTGTAATGAAGCGGAAGAACTCTACCGTCTGGCATACCAGTCCGACTGCGATACACACGGCTTAACATCTCCTCTTACACTCGTCAGTCTGTATTATGTTGCAGTTGTCTTAACGGCACAAGAAAAGTGGGCAGAGGCAGAGCCAAAAATCAATGAAGTAGTGGAGCGAACTAATGAGATATTGGGTCCAGAGCATCCGGATACTCTTTTGGCTTGTAAACTTCAAGCTAGCAGTTTGGTTCATCAGAAGCGATTTGAGGAGGCTGAAAAGATACGCCGCAGGGTATTGGAAGCCCAGAAGAAAATACTCGGTCTCGAGCACCCTACAACAATCCGTACTCTCAGAGGGTATGGTGACGTCTTGGCATTTCAACATAAATGGGGCGAGGCGGAGGGAATCTGTCGGCAACTCGTCGAGACGCAAGAGCGAGTCCTGGGTCCTGAGCACCGTGATACACTCGGGTCGCTCTGCAAACTTGCGCGGATATTAGCCAAATTTGGTCGAGGTGCAAAAGCTAGGAGTATCTTTCGTCAAGTGTGGGAGTTACGGAAAGGGACACTTGGCCCTGAGCATCCTGATACACTTGACAGCTTGAAATGGGTTGGATATCTGAGTGTGAAACTTGGGAAATTCGAGGAAGCAGCCGAAATTCTTCATCAAGTGTTGGAACTACAGAAGCGGGTACTAGGCCCAGAGCACCCCAAAATTCTTGACACCCTTAGTCGCCTTGGATTTGTTACCAGCCGTCTACCGCGCGACGAAGAGGCAGAGAGAGTCTACTATGAACGATGGCAGCTGGCGCAGAGAATTCATGGCCCTACACATCCCGTATCACTCAAGTATCACCTTCGTTTGGGCTCCTGGTTTGAGAGCCGCGCTCGCTATGGGGAAGCGGAGGAGACCTTTCGTCAGGTCATTGAATTGGAAAAACAAGCATCGCCGCCCAGGAACGGAAAAGTGTTGGAAACCATGACTACGATTGCGAGGATTTTAAGAAAACAGGACAAGGATGAGGAGGCAAGAAAGGTGGAAGACGAATGGAACATATAGGTAACTGTAGATGGGAAGGGGTTCAAGGATCTGTTGTCAGAAGGCACCTCGACGTTTGCTGATGAGCAGCGAAGCAACGATGGCGCTTCTGGCTCAGAGAAGTAATGGTTCGATGCGCCCAAGGACGGTAATGCTGCATCTCTTGACGAATGAACCGGACGCTGTTCATATTTGTCTGAGTAGGGGCTACAAGGAAGACGGAGCGGTTGACGTTGCGATCTTTCTTTGTCATTAGTTTGTTTCGCAAACAGTGTGTTCTGTCTCCTCTGGTTTAAAAGTGCAGTATCTACGGTGTTGTCTCTACAGGTCGATGCCCGGTCTCGGAAAGGGAAAAGACACGATCTTGCTTCTCCTAGTACATATATATATATATATATATATAGAAGTGCCCAAATACATACTTTTCGGCACGCTGTGTTTCGTCTCCCTCAATTGCTACCTAGGCACGCCGGCGGGCAAATCACACTTCCAACATCTTTGTTGGGGAGTGATGAGGAAAGACGGAGCACTCTGGGTGCCATGCAGTGTCGTGAGACCAGATCAACTCAATCAATGACACTAGGTCAAAAAGAAAGTCGATCTATAACCACCACCATGGTTTGGCCACTTAAGATTACTCCGAAATGCCTAAAATTCGTTCTCATAATCTATCTGTCTGTTCCGCCATTTCTAGGTCATTGGTTCCTTTCTGACGCATCATCTCATTAGATGCGATTCGAGTTTCCGCTCAGCTGAGGTGTTGGATCACTAACAGTAGCACTGCAAATTGGGCAATAGTTAAGCTAGACATCCATCTCACTCATTGACTTTTCACTTTGGACGGGGGTCACGACGTACCATGACTACCTTGGTCACTCGCCGTTAGTCGACCAGCTATGCGGGGAAGCCAGTTTCAAAAGAAGTCATCCAATTTCTCAGATGGTCAAGACTGTGATGAGATGTGGTTTCACTCCTTGCGAACAATCATTGGAAAGTAATCCCGACTTCTACCGTCTACCACACCATCATCTTCCCTCTTTCTTTTTCATCCTGTCCCTCCCTCTCCTTCGCTTTGCACTCCGACACCCACTCAGCTCCTACCAGCCAGAAAAGAAAAGAAAAAGGGAAAAAAAAGGAAAAAAAAAAAGGAAAGAAAGAAGAAGATAACACACGAACTTTCGACAATTCAGAGCTAGTCAATGCACCACACCACACCACCTACCTATCTACCTCTACATCTACATCCCTTACATCCCCATTCCCACCATCAGCAATTATCATGATCAGACCTAACAATCACACTCCACTGATCCCTCATGTAAACAGCCCCCTTCAGGTACCCACCATTGTTATTAATATTCGCCGGCGTCCCAGTTGACTGTCCTTGAGAATAACATCTTTTCTGGACCTCCTGGGCCGCCCAGGCGATTTCGCCGTAAGAACTGAGTTCTTTTCCGACGCGTGGTGCCTGTTTTACGTTGTGAGTAAGGAAAACGGTAGTATTATGAGTCCACCTAGTCTTCCTCGCCTTCTGAAAAAAGAAAAAGAGGAGAAAAGAAAAAGATACACAAGAAGAAGCCAATTTTTACGTTAAATTCTTTTTAATTTTAATTTTTTTTGTCCAAAAAAAAAGAAAAAAAAAAGAAAAAGGAAGCCGCAGAAAGAAGCAAGGAAGAAGCAAAGAAGAAGCAAAAAAGAAGCAAAGAAAAAGCAAAGAAGTGAATTAGGAGAAGAGAAAAGAGGCCAGATAAAAAACAAGAAATCAAAAAAAAAAAAAAACTAAAAAAAAAAACTCACATCATTACACCAATAAATCGCCGCTGCCCAACTACAGCTCACCCTTCCACAATTCCCTGGGCCCGGTCCGTTGCTCGGCGTCCCCGACACTTCCTTCAAATGCTTCACGCCCGCCGCGACGTACTTGGCTAATGCGTACCCCCACTTGGTGCTGCTGCTGCTGCTGCCGCCGCCAATGTCGCAGTCAACGCGGATGACTTCCCGACTGTTCTTCACCGCGCGGGCTTCGATGATGCCGCCGCCGGCAATGGTGGCTGGGTCTTCTTCTTCTGTGGCGGTGGTTATGTTGAAGGAAGGATGAGGAAGATCGTCTTGGATGGTGTAGTCGGAGGAGGGGATGTCGTAGCTGGAGGGGGTGGGGGAGTTGGAGTTGAAGGTGGGAAACGCGAGGGTGGTGGGGATTGTCTGTTTAGGTTAGGTAGCTGGGTAGGTACCTAGGTAGGTAGGTAGGTAGGTAGGTAGGGATATCATACCTGGAAGATAGCCAGCAACGCTCCGGAGAGAACGAGTGACGAGAACATGGTAATGAGTGTGCGAGGTGGACTCCTCCTCTAGAGACTCAAAATAGATGGACCGGAGCAGGGTGATTGCTGGAGGGTGAAGTGAACGTCTCGAGGAGAAAGAAAAAAAAAAGAAAAAAAAGAGAAAACCTGTCATTTTTGCATCCTCTTGGTCTTATATCACTTTGTGAAGATTTCGAACGTTTCTTTCACAAGTCCCCTTACTCCGCAGACATGGATCCTCGCCGTCGTCAAGCAGGGAACGGTATGGCATGTCGCCGATATCGACAAAGGCGCGGCAGGATTCAAAGCGCGCTTCGTAGCGTTCCGCGTTTGCATCAAAGAACCGGGACACTCTAGCGCAATGGATACATCAACCTCTCAAAGGTATCCCTTAGCGTGCTATATCCCGCGTTCATAAGATTCGTTGCCTTCGCTATTGGGCACCATGCCGATTAAATCGTATGAAACGCTTGGGCGGACTGGAGTTCTTTGGAGTTCGGTTGCTATTGAGCATCTTATGTGTGAGACCTTGGCCTTTGTTGTTGAGCTTGAAGCCGGGTGGGAATGAATGAGATGTATCGTTAACGTGATGGCTGCAAATCTTCCCTCAACAATGATAGTGCAGTAGCTTTTGGTCTTCCTTCCCATCCTTCACTTTTGCCAAATACGGACAAGCAGATGCCTCGGCGTTCCGCACTCCTCTCAAGCAAGGAAAACTAAGGGGCATGTTTGGTATTATACCATATTGTGGGGTTGTAAAACAAAAAGAGGAATGATGAAAACGTCGATAACTTCTTTCTAGCCAATTGAAAGCAGCTCAAGTGCGGCTCAGTAGCCTATGCGGAAAGCACCAGTTGACGTCTCGATTCAAACACGGAACGTACTGGATGATGCTCCCATTCTAGGGTGGTACGGCTTATTCTCCAAGGGATACCAGATAAACACACCGGACAGCCAAAACGTTAACACCATCTTTCCTCTGGTTCGCGCCACTTGACCCCAAGGATCTCAAAAATTCTTCTCTCATCTCTGCCCTCGACCAATTGTCCCTCTGTGACCTTCACTCTGCCACGTCCCCTCATAACCTCCTTGTACAAACCCCTCTGGTTCAACCGCATCCCCTTCTTTGATGCAAGGAGACGCATACTCCGGTTGAAGATATCGTTCCCAGTAAAGTAGATCAATGCGGCGCCGTACTCGGTTTCGGGGACAAGCAGAAAATCTACTCTGCGCCATATCGGACGTGGAGTGCTTGATGAAGCTGACTTGGCAGATCTCCTGGTTATCATCTTGTCGCTTGTGGCTTCGTCTGCCCGTGGCAGCACACAGCAGCCGAGCCATTTACTGCCTGGTCCATCCTTCCCTTTCCGGTTCGCATGTAGAGCCGATAAAGTAGCAACCACACAGCCCTTGTCCGTCAGGACCTTGAGCAGCCGCTCGAAGAAGGGAACCAAGTCGGCTGACGAGGTAGTGTTTTTCTTGGTGATGATGAAATCCACATCCCTCGAGCTCTCCGCTCCACGCCGATAACTACCCCCAATGAGCAACTCGACAGCTGGATCAATCTGTGCTGCCTCTTTCTTGATGTAGTCGCCAATGGCAGTTACCTCGCTTCTCGGAATGCGCGTGTTCAGGTCTTCGTAGTGGTCGACACCAATCCGTTGATTGGGCGTCAAATTTGCTTTCTGCTTCAAGTCATCCAACGTCCTGAAGCCCTGAGAAATCCACTTATTGGCGCGGCCGTTCCCAACATCGTAGATCTTGAGGAACGTTGCGAGAACATGGTCTAGTGATGAGGCTTGGGCGTACTCAAGGCGCCGAAGCGAATCAGTTGTGACGATTTCTTCGATCTTTTCAGCCAGTCTCTTCCCAATGCTGGGGAGATGGTACGCTTCCTCTGCCGTGGTAATTCTAGTATTCTGACGCTTGAGAGTAGCAATTGCTTTACGGTAGGCAGTAGTGCGCCACTGATCAGAAACTCGGCTGTAGTAGTCGCACATTGATTGGAGAACCTCGATTGTCCTGGCATTGGGGTTTTGGGCTTCAGCGGCTTTGTCCTTAGTCCCACCCTTGTTACAGGCAAACCGATCTTCAGATGCGATTCTTTTCTGGGTGGGTCGACGTGTTCGTTGTGAGCGGCGCTGTTGGGTGCGTTCATCTGGGGAGTCCTCCTCTATTTCGGATTCAGATATGAGCTCCTCCTGGCAGGAGATGACTGACTGAGCATCATCCTCTAGAGGACCATCCAAGGGAAGGTCTTTATACTGTTGTAGGAGTTCAATACATCCCGAAAGCTCGTCTTTCGGGTCATCTTCCGGAGAATCGTCTTGACGATGAGGTGATATTTTTGGCAGACTACTTGTTAAGCGAGGACCATCAGAAAGTAGGTTTGGGATGATGGGTGGCCTCGGTTCTGGTATGTAATCATCATCCGCCAAATCTTCAACTATTTGCTCCTCAGCCACAGGTTTAGCGCCCTTCTCTTGTACGTCAATGGACTTGGCCAAAGGGACTGATTCCTCGCTTTGTGACTGGGTTTTATCTTGCGAACTAGGGACCTGCTTTCTCCTTTTTGCTGTCGAGACCTTGACCTGTAGTGACCGATTGGAAATTTGGGATGGTGCATGGGTATCTGTTGCCTGCGCAATTAGTGTCGGTGAAGCTGGATGAGGTCGACCTGCGATGTGATAGCGAGCCTGGTCCGCGTTGAGGATTGTGCGGAACTGAATACAGTCTATGGGATAATCTTCGTTGACAATGACTGGAGCAGATGTTGTAGGGGCAGCTTCTAGAACACTCTGAATATCATGATAGGCCAGACGCTTATCGACAATGACATGAGTAGCTTCTTTCAGAGAGCGAACCCACTTGGCCCCATATTGCTGGGCTCTGGCAATGCGCAGTCGTCGGGCAGGGGCAACGTTGTCGTTGGGAATGTAGAAGAACATGAGAGTGCGGAATATCTGGTCTGTTTCCGGTACAGCTTTTGCCTCGGCTTGGCGTTTTCGTTTCCTCGTCGAAGATGTGCCTGACGGAGATTGTTGATGAGGTGATGAAACCAGTCTTGCAGTTGACGGTATGGGCGACGTCGCACTTTTCTGCAGCAACGGGGGAGCCGGCCGAGCAGAGCTTGTGCTTGGATGTGGTGTTTCTGTTACGACAAGGGAAGTATCTGAGACATTGGGTGTGTCTCTTGTGTTTTTGAGGGCAGTTTTTCGGAGATTCTGCGTTCCTGGGGTGGCTTTGATGATGTCGGCCCGCGATGATGATGTTTTGGCGAGTGGAGTCGAAAGTGTCGCTGCCGGCGGCTGTGTCTGAGGAATTGTTGGGATCTTTGGTTTTGACTTTGGCTTTGGCTTCGTCTTGGAGGAACTGAAGAAGGCTTTGCTTCTTGCGCGATGTTCTTGTTCCTGGGTGTCGAATCTCTCATCATCACTGATGGCCTCACTGAGGGCGTCCAGCACCTCGAAGAAGGCGACCTTTTCTGCGAGTGTTTGGAAGCTCATCTTGATCGGTCAATTGCGGCAGAGCGTTTGGTGTTCGGTTCTGAAATAATTCAGTTGCAACTGAAGCCGGTCAAGATTATGGCGGATAATGTCGGTTGATCATGTCGTCGCTTCCAGGTTTTGACGTCCCTTCTTTGTCCGATTGTGACCTGAGCAAACGGCTGCGGTTGCCTGAATTGGTTGACGGAACCAGCCGACTTGTCCGAACTCGGACCTTGTTAACACAAGATGGAAGGTACGTCCGTAGTGTTGACGTAGCTCCGTAAAGTAGAGGTACCTCTACAGTACCCAGGTAACTCCGCTCAGTGTCGAGCGGCAGTAGTGATTATACATGGCATGGAGAGGCAGGAAATACTGCCCCAAGTGAAGTTGTGCATTACCTACTGTCGTCCAGTCGGGCAGGGATTTTGTTTGGATCGCGCTGACCCCTTGTAGCCGATGTGGAGAAGAAAGTTCTTTGGCCAGGAAACAGGCGCGAAAGTCGAGCGATAGCACGTGGTGGCGCCCGGTCCCGCTACCAATTTCTTGGCTTTTCAGGGGCACGGTGGAGAACTAGTAGGCCGTACTTGTTGACAGCTGCCAAATGGATTATGGACAGTGGCGGTCTGTTTCAACCTCCAATTCGCTGGCCGGGCAGTCGTCACAGCTTCCTCCTTCCCCCTTTTCGTTACAGTTTGGTACACAACGAACAACCTGGAAGACGGGAAACTCAAAACTGAAATCGTCAACTCCCGAATCCGAGTCAGGCCCTGTCCGCTCCCTTGCTTCAAGTCCACTTTGCTTAGGTTTCCTCACACAATTGACCCTGCAGGATAATTCCACCTGGCGACAGCACGCTGCCCGTCATTTCTCTCCATTGTCTAGCGACCCCATCTTCATCACTACTCACCACGCAGTCCACGCTAGCGTACTTTTTTTGCTGCTACAGTAATTCGAGAGCATCCTCAACGTTACTTTAGGTCAATTGACTTTGACCGTTCTGAGTTGTACATCGCTACAGTACCTACTCTGTTCCGGCTTCTTCGCAACTCCAGTCCGACCTCATCGCTCCTTGTTGCAATCACGCACCATCACGTCCTGTCTACCCACTACAGCACCCAAGTTCACTTCCCGTGTAAGTCGGTATCATGTCGAACCTCTTTTCTGGAATGTAGGTACCCGTCCTTTTTTACGTTTCTCTCTCTCATCTCACACGCTTGTCACTTTTGGTTCTCTCCACAACTGGCCTATTGGGCTTTACTTGTGAGAGGCTGCAATCGGATGGTCTTCGGTCATTTATGTTTCTCTGGTTTCTCAGGATCCGTATGTCTCGGTTCTGCTTTCTCATATTTTCAGCCATCACATGTCATTGTTATAGCGTGATGGCTATGACGGTCTTGGTCTCGAGCTAGGTTCCTTTCAGAGTCACCCAGACACAACGGCCGGGCAGCACGCACAGTACATATACCATCACGAGCAATATTACAAACATGTCTTGGATTTGTCGACAGATGCTGACCCAACCAGAAATGCCCGCCTGAGAGGCACGGCAAACAAAACCACGTCAAACAAAACCCCCCAATCACCCGCCACCGACGATGTTCACCATCATCATATGCCCTCACCCAGCAACAATTCCATCTCGAGCCAGAGCTCAGCCAACCTGTCATCCAAGCTGCCGCCACTTCCTGCCTCACCCTCACTATCTCAGTCCATCGGTATGATGGGCACTGGTGAAGAGGCCCTCAACGCCTATCATCTTCCCAGGCCACTGCCACTGTGGCTGAACCCGACTGCCGCCAAGCACATCGTCAAGGGCAACTTTATGACACTCAGCGCTAGGCCCAAGACGGTGGAGCAGGGCGAGTGGATTGCTCATCAAGGTAATTCATGATCCTTGTCTGTGACTGTCACACGTTATCGTGTCCACTGACATCATCATGTAGTGGTTGAGCATTACCGCAACTTGTGGAACTTTGTCAGAGTTGTATACGAGAAGGAAGAGGATGGAAAGTCGATTTGCAACTCCACTACCTGCCCCAGGATGTCCGCTGGAACGTAAGAACGGAAACCCCCAATGCCCATGTCGAAGCACCTCAAGGATCTGTTTTAACAGAAATGGGCACAGGAACCACTCGTACACGTGGCTAAACAGCCGCTTCGAGCCCATTGAGCTCCCAGCATATGAGTACATTACTCTGATGCAGCGGTGGATTTCGGGCAAGATTGACGATACCAAGATCTTCCCCACCGAGGCGTCGGGGGTCTCGTTTGCGCATAACCCTCAGATTACCACAACAGCACTTTTGACGGGTCCTGACGACTGGATCGGCAAGCGCAGCGGATTCCCCAAGGAGTTTTTCAACATCTGCCAGACCATCTTCCTCCAGATGTTCCGTGTCTACGCTCACCTTTACTGGGCCCACTTCACGGAGCCCTTCTACCATTTGAACTTGGAGAAGCAACTCAACAGCTGTTTCAGCCATTTTGTGCTGACAGCTACCGCCCTCGATATGCTCAAGCCGGCCGAGCTTGAGCCAATGCAGCCGCTGATTGATCTCTGGGCCGCCAACGGCACCTTCCCACCGGAATCCAAGGCTTATGAGTACGCCAATTTGAAGGTTGGCACTCGCCTGATGCAGATGGCAGGCCTGGCTTAATTAGGGAAGCATGAAAACAAGGGGATGTAATGGGGGAAAAAACAGATCATGTCATGATGAGGCTTATCAACATGTGGAGTTTTCTAATCTATCTCGGGTATGTTGGGTTACTCTAGAGGATAGATAATGGCCATGTGTGCATTGAACGGGAGTCTGATGTGGCAGGCAAGAAAAGTGAGGGATGAGGAGACTAATACCAAGACAAAAAGTATTACTTTATATACCTGGGCGAGATAGCATGGGTTTGTTGAAGAAAAACGACTTGTCCTTATGAGGATGTTGACTCGAGATGGCAAGGGGCAGTCGGAACTTTTAGTCCCAGAGTGTTCGAAAGAAAGTTGAGAACTGATGGTGATGGCCCATGGATTATGGATCTGAACGGCGTTCGTTGCGAGGGAAATACCAGCTCTGTACGACACGATACCCTTCAAGAAAGTATTCAACTTCCAGAAACCTGAATTACTACCTGCCTGTACATAGGTATCTAAGTCCATTCAGCAACCTCGATACCTCACATATCCAAACCCACGTTGGGGTTACACCTGATGCCGTCAAATACATGGGAGCACGGGCTAGACCTAGCGCCAAAGTGGCAAGCACCAGGGGAGGGGGCCAGTGAGGTGGAGTGCTCCAAAAAGGGTCCAAAAGGGCCCATCAACGGCCCAGACTGCCAAGACCGAGCTAGGCACGCCAGATCCAAAAGGGGACAAGCCTGGAGATTGGACGGCGTCGCGGGGGCAAGAGATCGGATAATGCGATAAAGCGGATTCAGTTGCAGTCCACATGTTCGGGGGCCCGGCGCGCAGGCTGTACCTACCTATGGAGGTAAGGTTGTGCCAGACGTGCCTGTCAGTGCCTGGGCTGCGCGGATGTCGGACAGCCCTGTGCGCGTGTAAGTGCCAGGTGAGGTGTCGGGTCCAGTGTGGGTGACGACTCGGGCGCTCTTGCGGGCAGGCGGGAAAGCCCCAGGACCCCACCCCACCCAGGAACTGCCTCCCTCTCCATCCATCTCTGGAGCCCAGCACAACCTAAGTAGAAGTGGGGTATCGATCTGATTTGGCAACCCAATCTCTGACGGGGCCAGGCAAAAAGTTGAGGCAAGGAAAGGCCATGCTGGACCCGTCTGGGCAATTGCCATTGCGGCAGACGAAGAAAACTTCACAAGCATCAGGCTCCCCTTCGAACCTGCCTCTCCATCCTCCTTCCCACTTTTTATCTCCATCGCTGAGCTGCCCTGCAAATTTTCCAGCTTTACATCTTCCTCTTCTCTGATTCCTTTTGGTTTTTTTACACCAATTCATCTTTTATTCCTGTCTGTTTTCCCCAACATAAACAGCATCAACAACAGCAACAACAGTCAAGATGGCGGCCAACGATCAGATGGACATTGAGGTTGCCGAGCAGAAGCTCAAGAGCATGGATCACGCCGAGCAGCACTACTTCAACAGGTACGGACATGACCGTCTCGCCTCTTCTCGTTGATATCCTATGGTGGTAGAGACAGATCAAAGCTAACATGACTGCGTCCTCTAGCTATAACCACCATGGTGAGACACCAGCACCCGCTTATCGCGAGGTCCACGGACTGCGCGCTTCCTAGTTCGCCTCGTGGCCGTTCATAGTCTGGCTGTTGCTAACCTGGATTTGTTGCGCAACAAAGGCATTCACGAGGAGATGTTGAAGGACGAGGTCAGAACCAAGTCGTACATGCACTCTATCGTCCAGAACAAGCACCTTTTTAAGGACAAGATCGTTCTCGATGTCGGTTGCGGTACTGGTATCCTCTCCATGTACGTCCCCATCTCCTGCATCATGCAAACCTGCAGCTCTGGCGCTCCTGGAATGCGCCGAACACTGCAATCCAACAATGGTGAAACAGCCTGCTAACCGTCTTCTCTTCTCACAGGTTTGCCGCTAAGGCCGGCGCCAAGCACGTTATCGGTGTTGACATGTCCACCATCATCTTCAAGGCTCGTGAGATTGTCAAGGTCAACGGCCTCTCCGACAAGATCACCCTGATCCAGGGCAAGATGGAGGAGATCGAGCTTCCCTTCCCCAAGGTTGACATCATCATCTCGGAGTGGATGGGCTATTTCCTCCTCTACGAGTCCATGTTGGACACTGTCCTCTACGCCCGTGACCGTTACCTGGCTCCCGGCGGTCTCATCTTCCCCGACAAGGCTACCATCTTCATTGCTGGTATCGAAGATGGTGACTACAAGGATGAGAAGATTGGCTGTATGTTCCCTGCCCCTGGTTTTTTTGGCTTTTCATTTTGTGAAAAGCTTCCTACTGACACCGGTTTACCAGTCTGGGACAACGTCTACGGATTCGATTACAGCCCTCTCAAGGAGACTGCTCTTTCCGAGCCCCTTGTCGACACTGTTGACGTCAAGACCGTCGTCACTGACCCCGTCAACATCTTGACTCTCGACCTTTACACTTGCACCACTGCCGACCTGGCTTTCAAGTCCAACTTCGAGCTCGTCGCCAGACGCGATGACTTCATCCACGCCCTTGTCGCCTGGTTCGACATTGACTTCACCGCCTGCCACAAGCCCATCCGCTTCTCGACCGGTCCCCACACCCAGTACACTCACTGGAAGCAGACCGTCTTCTACCTCAAGGACGTCCTCACCGTCCAGCAGGGCGAGAAGGTTCAGTGCTCGCTCCACAACCGCCCCAACCAGAAGAACAAGCGTGATCTTGATATCACCATCGATTACAAGTTCGAGAACCAAGACCCCACGAGGCAGGCTGAGGGCAGGTGCTTGTACAAGATGTGCTAGTAAGATATTTGATTGCGGATCTGCTAGACAAAAGTGTCGAATCGACGAGTCAAATGGACGATGCGAGCTGAGAAGCCGCCCCTTGTCCATGAGATCGTCGAAGAGATGTGGTTGAGCTCACAGTATTCACGAAGCTTTTGGGGGTATTGGGAATTGCACGGCGTCTTAAAAGAGAAGGGGTTGCTTTTTAACCTGGGTTTTGTGTTTTTCATATATTTTGCTTTTTACGAACTCACTAGCGGGACCAGGGGTTTTCTTAGATATCCAGCAGCGGAAAGGAAGCGCGCGCGGAAGAAAGAAGAGACATACATATAAGGGAACTCTCTTACTCTGTGATACACAGAGAAAACATGAGTCAATGCTTGACTAAAGCACGATATCAAAACGCGATACGTTAGGCCCGCCGGGTTGGGTGCGTGATTGCAAAAGCATCCGGCAGATGAAATCAATGGAATGCTTAATGATCACAATGGGATGCCATTAGACGGTGATCTTGAACACTTGATGTGATACCCAGCGAAGAAAGAGTTTTGATTTGATTGAAATTAATTGATTTGTTAAAAATGGAGAAGTCTCGAACTGTACCAGACCAAGCCCAGGCGTGACCTCTTACCTAGACATGGAAGCTACCATTTGTAAGTTGAGGCAGGTAGCGTTCTTGTCTGAATACATCGATTACGTCGAGTTCAACAAACCTCTGGTGTTTCTGCTAACACATCAAGTCATTGCAAGATGTCTTCATCCCGCATTACTAATAGTCACATTCACGACAACGCCCTGAATAGAACCTTTTGGCCAGCTGATTGAATTCAAAACGTAGAAGTAGCAAAAGGTGCAATGAAAATAGAAAGCTGTATATTTGACTCTCCATGTCCGTTTTTACTTCCGAGTCTGTAGTCGCAAACTCGATAACGACGGACCATCTCTGCCCACGCGTACTGGTGATGACAACCATACACGATTCTATATCGAGAACCCAGTTTCCGTTATAAGCTTACGAGTAAAGACGTTCTTCATATTCCTTTTCTCCTTCCGCTCTTAAGAATAGCTTTGTTAGGCTTGAAGAATACTGGTTAATACCTATGTGTAGTTAAAAAGAAAAAGTAGCACGGTGGTGGTGGTGGTGGTGGCAACTAAGGGATTAACAATGTGAAACAAACTAAGAAAAAAAAAAAAAAAAAAAAAAAAAAAAAAAAAAAAAAAAAAAGAAGAAACAGAAAAAAAGAGACAGGGACAGAAAAAGATAATCATCATGTTTGCCCCTTACTCTCAAATGTTACTATCGAAAATCTTTCTCGAGTGTGTGAGCTGCACCAGGTTTGGTTTGGTTCTTAAGTTTTGGTTATACATTACATTCATCTATGCCGGTATTAGTACAAAGTGAACAGATTCAACGGTTCTTTTCATATACCAGCCGGCGCTTAGTATCACGGCACATAGACTAGGCAAGTGGCTGGCACTGTTAATCTGACGAATGTAATAAATAATTAACTATGGGGAGTAAAAGAGAAGAAGAGAAGTGCTGCTCTGGCTGGTATGATTAAATATAGGAATGAAGTGGGTCCCTGGAAGGGATGTAGCTAATTAGATAATACGGGTGGATGTGATAAGGATGTACCTAATTAGAAGGCGCGGATAGGAATACGGACTATGGGAGTGGTTTTAGTAATTAGTTTGGCTTAGCTATGATATTACCCCCCCGGCGGAAGAAAGATTTAGACCTAGAGTCGATTAAAAATAGTAAAATCCTTTATTATTATAAAGATCTATGTGAAAATTATTAAGGTCCTTAATGTTGTAGAGCTTTAATTTTTAAATTGTGTTATTGGTATAATTTAATTTAAATTATGGCCTTATTTAGCTAATCCGTTGCTGTAATGTATATACTCTAGTTTGCGCTCGAAGTCGTTTAACGAATGAGAAATACGAGAATTGTAATTTGAGACGGAATTGTCGTTATTATTATTGTTATTACTATTATTATTGAGAATTATAATAGTGTAAAATTGAGTATATAAAGAAGAAGATGAGGCTTTGGGAGCCGGGATTATAGTATTAGATATAGGAGGTAGAGTTTTATTGGGAGTTGTATGGAATTTAATAGAGTTGAGGGAAGTTTGAATAGTATTAATATTTATAGTATTTTTGTTTTTGTAATTAGCGCCACTATATTTGCTAGAAAAGTGAATAGATCCGAGAATTTCTTTTAGTTTATTGATATAGTTTATATAAGTCGTTGGCTGGGGACGAATTTGTAGTATTTGTTTGCGAATCTCCTTATTAAAAGTTTAGCGGAGGAGAGAGATCTTTACGGGTTCGGATTAAGTATTAGTTTGTGCTTTGTAGAGTAATTATTCGAATTTTATAATAAATACGTTAAACGGATCTTTATATTATTAAACGGTATATAAGGCGGCTTCGGTTTATTAAATTTTATTAGGATTATTGTAAATACGGGCTAATTAGTTAAATAGAGTTTAGGGGTTGAAGATATTATTACTAGAGGATTGAATAAATTGTAGTATTATTAAAGTTTGGATTTTTTTATTTAATTGGGAATAAATGTAAAAGAATTGTACTTTAGTGTTATTAATAGTTTTACTATCGAGTTTAAGTTTGGTACGGATTATAGGTAATTAAATTTTAAAAGAAAAGTTAATTCTAATAAATTTGTTAGTATTAGGTAATTTTACTTTAAGAGTAGGCGTTTTATTAATAATTTTAATTAATAAAGAGAACTTTTTATTTAAAATATTTATATTGGAAAGTATATTTTAAATAGTCTTTTCTATATATTGGATTGTAATATTATAATTCTAAAGAATTTATTTAAGTGTAGGCGTAGTTTATTGCGGGTTTTGGTCCGCTATTATAGAGGATTATTGAGATTGATAGGTCGAGCGAGAATTGTTGTGTAAGAAGGTGTGTTTTGGTTATAGTAAATTAATTGAGGTAGTAATAGTTATTAAAATAAAGAAAAGAAAAAATAGGTACTTTTGAAGGGGGGTAGGTTGAATTATTTGTTTTTTGAAGGTAGTAAAGCTAAAAAAGTAAATATTAGATATAATTTGATAAGATTAGAGACGTAAATAGTTGAGATAATATTAATTAATTAATATTAATAATATAATTGTATAGGGGTAGGAAAAAAGAAATTCCGGGTTTTGGACCTCTCTACTAGTATAGCGAATCTTAAAGTTACGTATAATCTTCTATTTTTAATTATAAACCTTTTAGTACGCTAATAATATAATTATTATATAGCTTCTCTGTGCGTGTTGTATTAGAGCGTTAGGGTATATAACCTTATTAGTAAGGTAATAGGCGCCCTATTTAATTGTATATAGAAATCGGGTTCCATTAGTCGGATAAATGTTAATATAGTACGGCCTTACTCTTAGCGGTACTAATCGAAGAAAGAGAAAAAGATTATAATTGTTAATTAGTTAATAATAGTAAAGTTTGTGCGTTAAGTTAATTAGAAAAGGGATAGTTAATTAAGTATTATAGTATATAAATTAGGCAAGTGGTTGGTACTACTAATTTAACGAATGTAATAAATAATTAACTATAGGGAATAAAAGAGAAGAAGAGAAGTGTTGTTTTGGTTAGTATAATTAAATATAGGAATAAAGTGGGTCCCTAGAAGGGATATAGCCAATTAAATAATATGGGTGGATGCGATAAGGATGCACCTAATTAGAAGGCGCGGATAGGAATACGGACTACGGGAATAGTCTTAGCAACCAGTCTGGCTCAGCTATGATACTTAGAATAGGTACCTACCTACCTACCTACCTATTAACAACGAAGCTTGACTTAATAGTCTAGTTTCTTTCAAAACGTCTGCCTTGCTTTTTGTTAAGTTGGTGACTGATTCTTATCTATAAGCTTAGCAAGGTTACTCCGATGGTAAAAGCTACCCGGTAAAGAGACATTAGAATCCACTATTGGTTTCTCTATGGGACAGACATGAGATAAATGATCAGGAGGAAGGAGGAGGAGCTGCTGTGTGCAGAGAGGAGAATGAGTGATTTGACTTAGTACGTAGGCATTTAGGGTACGTACGTATGTACGTTGGATACTATTTATTTATAGGCTTGATTGATTGTTTGTTTGTTTCATAAGAACCACAAAGTTGGTTCTTGTGGCCTTGTCCTTTATCTACCTACGCTTCTTTGCTGCTTTGCTATTGTTTCAATACTTTTTTTTTTTTTTTGGTTTTCAGGATTGCTTGTTATACTCCCGAGATGACTCCCTTTTCCCACCTAGGTACCTACACACGCCGATTTTTGGATCCCTCTTGCTTTCCCTTTCTTTCCGTTTGATTTTGTTTTTTTTTTCCTGTTGGCTGTTCTGTTGTTCCGAATAAGTAGGTATACACTAACATACATAATCAGACAAGTGGTCTGTGGTAGGCAGTACATGATGAAGCAAGATGAATGAGGAGCAAAAAAAACCTGAGTGCCCCTGGGTATACCTAAAAAAAAAAAAAAAAAAACAATTGGTGACCGAGATGCTAAAAACCCGCTCGAGCGCTGGCTGAACTCTTTTTTTTTCTACCCCCTTAAATGGGAAGTTGGAAATCGTTGAGCCTTTTTGTGCTGTATAGAAAAAAAAAAAAAAAAAAAAAAAAGAAACGAAATCCCACCGGCCGGCCAAAAGATCCGTTTCAGATCCTTTATATCCATATTAACGACGCCACGCCATGCTATCAACAACACCAATTTTCGCCTTCCTTTCTTGGAATCTTCTTCTTTTCTTTTTATATGGTTTCCCCAAACCAGTTCAAGTCCAATGCATGAAACCACCTAACCAACCAACCAACCAACCAACACCAATATCTCAAAGCAACACCCACCATGAAAGCAAAGAATTAGGTATAAACCGTTAAACCCGACTTAACCAACCCCACAACATCCCCTTACCGACCTCCCCCACGACCCCGTGCAGGTCCCCGTCCATACCGATACGGATCCCTTGGATCAAAGTGCTTGCCCATAAACATGGGCTGGAAGGGGGGTTCCGACCTCGCCACGCCGTCCCACTCGGGTTCCCGTTCGGGAACGACGTCTACAGGAGGCGTATTCGGGAACGTCTCTTCCGGACCAGCGTACAGTGGAGCCAGCAGAATCGGTCGCCTTGCTGTTGTTGTGTTTCTGTCGGTGGGCGGCTTGAGACAACCTGCGCCTTCGTCGTCGCTTGCGATGAGGATGGAATCGGTTGGTGAGTGGGCTACGGTGGTGGATGATGACGAAGAGGAGGAGTCCTAGTCCGTCTTTTTCATCGAGTTGGTTTTTGTGTTGGGTTTGGTTTGGGCATCGGAGGTAAGTAGGGTTGGTTCAGGAAACGGGTGGTATTGGTGGCACTGGTCTTGGTTGTAGTCGACATAAGTGCGGTTGTCGTCATCGGAGGAGGGGGAGGAGGTTAAGTAGCTGTTGTTGAATCCTGGGTCCCAGTGGGAGTCTTCAGCCACAACGCCTAGGCCGTTGCGAGGGCGCGGACGCCAGAGGGAATTACGTCCTTCGGTTGGGACAGTTGCGCTCCGACGGGTTCTGGTGCGCAAGGGTGGATATTTGTTAGGGACCGTATAATCGTGACCGTCTCCATCAATGTGGTCAGATACTCTCTCGGACAACCGACGATTAGGATTATATGTGCGACCAGAATCTTGATTGCCGCGGCTGTCAGTGCTAGAAGTATCATAATGCTGAGAAGAAGATCTAGTCAAAGGCGACGACGACGATGACGGAGTAGCGAGCGGCGCATCAGGTTGAGGATGGACATTATAATCATTATGAGGCGTCTGCCCGGGAATCGTCCGCAGAAACTCGCGCCTCGACCGCTCCTCCGCGCGTTGTTCCATCTCTCGCCGCTCATAAAACTCTTTGGCTGTTTCATAACGTCCATTCATGGCTTGCTTTCGCCTTTTAAGAAATGCATCAAGATCTTGCCCGCTCCGATTAACCCACAAACGCCGTATATAATACTCCGCAAAATCATCACTATCTGAATTCGAACTAAAACCATACCCGCTCTACTGGATGTTTCCGCCGAATCGCTCAATAATCTGCGCAACCTGCTTGGCGAGCTCCGTGGCTTCACTGTTGGTGGCGGCCTCAGCGTACACACGGCAGGCGTTCTCGGTACCACTGGCGCGGGCAAAGGCACGGGCATCCTTGTACTTTTTGACGGCGGCGTCGATCTGTTCCTGGGCACCTTCGGGGTGGGACAGGCGACGCTCGGCATCAGTGGTCTGGAAGAGATCCTTGTTGCCAACGACAACGCGGACGAGCCTGTTGGGAAGATCGTTGTAGGTCATGGCCCAGTCACGGAGGGACCAGTTCTTGTGCGCCAGGATGACCTCAACGAGGAGCATGTCGGAGATGGCGTCACCGACGGTCTGGTTGATCAGGTCGCTGAGGGCGGCGAGGGTGGTGAGAGCATCTTGCTGGGCGGGGGACTGCGGCTCGGTGGTCTTGAAGGCTCTCAGAGCATCAGGAGAGAAGAGAACGGTGCCGTGGCCGTTGGCCTCAAAGTAGACACCGATATCGAAGCTCTGGGCGACGTGGTGAAGGTGCTTGACGCCAGTGGGAGTGCACATGACGGGCAGCTTAAGGTGGGAACGGATGTAGTTGGTGCTAGCACCGTTGGCATAGGCGGTCTGGACAACACCAATGCGGAGCTCATCCTTGAGACCGGCGCTCTCGACAAGGTCACCGATGAAGGAGGCAGCAAGAGAGGAGATGCGGTCACCGTCGAGCATGAAGAAGCCGGTATCGGGATCGATCCAGTAGTAGATCAAGCGGTCGGCATCGCCATCGAGAGAGCAGGACCTTACGCCGGGCTGGGGTGCGGGCTTGGGGGGAGCGCGTTGCTTGGTCTTGACGAAATCGGCGCCGGACTGGGAAAAGGAAAACAAAAGTTAGAAACCAAGATTACCACAACAGAATACATACTTGAGCTACTTACCTCGAGGTTGAGGACCTCGGGACGTAGAACGTCGTCATTGACGATCTTGACGTCAAAATTGACCTTGTCCTGGGGAACGTGCTTGAGGAAGTCGGCGAGCTTGGGACCTCCGACACCGTTGGCGCAATCGACAATCAAGGGGCCGTTGATTCTCCTGCCCTTCAAGGCGCGAACAAAAGCATCGGCCATCTTCTTGTAGTATCCGACCTCGCTGACTTGGCCGTAGGAGGTGGGGGTGCCCTCGGTGTTGGTAGCGCGGACCAAGTAGTGCAGCTGAGGGGTAGTCAAGATCTTGTAGTCGACCTGCTCTGTTTCGGTAGCTTCCAAGGCGGCGGCAAGGGCGGTGACAAGAGTGTGACCGGATGGCCTCGTGTCGCGTCCATAGATGACCTTGGCGGGAGCACTCAGGTCGATCTTGAGGTCGGTCGCAAGCTGGTTGTAGTATTGGACGAGGTCCTCCGGGGTAGGAGCGTTGACGAGGTTGGTCGCAAGGTGCTCCCAGTCCTGCTCGAGCATCTCGCCCATGGGGTCGACGATCTTGACACCATTGTCGACGGCGGGGTTGTGACTGGCGGTGATCATGACACCGATGGTCTGGGAGTTGAGCTTGCGGCTGCGCAGAGACGCCAGCAAGCCGACGCGGAAGGTGACGCCGTCGAGCAGGTCAGCCTTCATGCGGAACCCGGCAGTGCCATACTTGTATAGCTGCCCCTTCTCCAGGGGAACAATGGCATGCTTCTGGGCAGCAGCCAGGATGCGTTCGTCGTGATGCGCCATGGGAGGAAATTCGGAGGGGGGGTAGTTGTCTTGTTTTCTACTCAGCTGCGGTTTGGAGTTGGATTAGGAGAATGGAGAAGCGCAGGAGGGGAGAAGGAGGAGGAGGGGGTGGGATATGAAGGGCGGTCGGTGGAAGGCTGCGTGAGGAAGCCAGCCAGATGTACCTCTAGTAGCCAGTGAGTGTGGAAGAAGACAGAAAGGGGGGTTGGTCACCAGTAGAAGAGATACGATGGAGATCGATTGGATCGTCTTTGCTTGGATTTTGCCGGCTGGCAACGTGAACGAATCCACACGCAGTCCACATTTAGTGTAGAGTAGAACAACAAACATAACGCATGAGCTGGTTTCAGGATCCTCTCTCTCCATTCCCTTCACTTTCTTTCCATTCTTACCGTTTTGATGTGTTGTATGGATCTGGTAGGTTGCACAGTTCCACTGAGCTGTAAGTACTTGATCTGAGAGACTTTTCGAACGTAGCCAGCCAGCTGACGGCAACAATTGTATTGACGAGTTCCAAAGGGTTCCAACGTGAGAAACAAAGACTGATCGGGCAATGCAGCCTCGTGCAAGACAAAAGGGGACCCGACTCCCCCAAAGTGGGACTGCCCTGGCTGCTAACAGAAAGAATGGGGGGGCACCGTTAAGGTGAGCTGATGAGGGGCTGCAAGGTGACGGATGGGGAAATAGTGGGAGCCGCTAGTGCAAATCACCCAGAGCATTAGGATCCACTTGCACGTCATGCCCAGCCCGCGGTTTGCTAACGCACCTCAGCCCTCGAAAATTGTTAGTGCATGTTAGCGTCCCCTGAATGGTCCACTTACTAAGTGCCGCCGTTGCTCGGGCGACTCTCTTTTCTTTTTCCGAAAACCAATTACATAACACGACAAACGCGCAGTCCATCGCCGAGACGCGTCTCACCGGGCAGCAACCTTGACTGTTGCTTATACTTTTGACAACGGCATTCTCGTTCCCGGTGGTCGGTGATGACTTGCTAAAGTTGTTTGGCTTGCTTTTGGCACCTTTTTGGAATCCTGCTTTTCTCGCACATTCCTCCCATCATCTTCCCTGTTATTCCGCTACAACGAACATTGTTTTCCCTTGTTCTTGGTTTCTTGGGATTCATCTTGGGAGGGTTGATTCCAAGACCTTTTTCTTTTCTTGTTTCCATCTGCTATAACCGCTCATCATGGCTGGCGATACTGGTGCTAACCCACTGTTTCTCTGTTGGGTCAAGGAGTGGTGGGATACCGCCCGTGAACACAACACCAAAGGCGCCCCCACCTACAAAAAGGCATACAACTCACTCAAAGCATGTCCATTGACTTTTCAACATCCTTCGGAACTCCAGGTACTCAACGGGTTTGGCCCCACAATCAGTCAAAGACTTACCGACAGGCTTAAACAATATTGCGAGGAGAATGGCCTCCCCATGCCCAAACATCCCAAGAGGAAGCGAACGTTGGAGTTGGAATCAGCTCTTGCGGCAGCGGGTGCCGCGCAAGATGAACAGCCATCACCTCCCAAGAGAGCCAGGACAGCCCGACCTTATGTTCCAAAGCTGAACAGCGGCGCATATGCTCTGCTCATGGCTCTTTCAGATCTTGGACCTAAAGAGTTCATGGACAAGACCACGCTTATCGCCAAAGCCCAACCTTATTCTGAACACTCCTTCACCGTTCCCACCATGGCAAACAAATCGTATACGGCTTGGGATTCCATCAAGACGCTCGAAGAGAAAGAACTTGTCTATATACGTGGTCGGCCTTCCAAAAGATTTTCATTGACCGATGACGGCTGGGAAGTGGTCAAGCGGATGAAGGAAGCACAGAACCTCGTGGATGGAGTGGGTGGGAGCGCGAATACGTCAAGGAACTCCATTGCTAGTGGCAGCGGTACTTCAAATCCCAACCGCAGTGAGAACGTCAACCCTAATCGCCAAGACAGCGGTGTCAAGAGGGAGAGTCGATACACGCCTCTTGACTTGAAGCCGTTTGTCTCGGCTACAGCAACCCTGGATAGACCATTACAGCCAAAAGCTCTCACGGCAAATTCAGAATATAGTATCATCGTCGATAGTGACCATGAAGACCCCAAGTATGACGAAGAGGACCGGAAACCAATTATCCGAGAGTCGACAAACCGCGACTACATCGACCTGGTAGCAGACGGCGATTCCGTGCCTGACGAGTCCAGCCTCCCCCAGTTTACCCCCATCAGACTAGCCCCCGGCTCCTTCACAGTCGAACTAGTCCTCGACACGCGCGAAGTCCAAGCCAAGAACAACCGGGACCACATCCAGGAAGAGCTCTCCAAACTCGGTGTTCGACCCATCATGCGGAGTCTCGAGCTCGGCGACGTCCTCTGGATAGCCAAGTGCAAGCAACCGGGCTGGCTTAACAGGCTAGGCGCCGAAGGTGACGAGGTCGTCCTAGATTACATTGTCGAGCGCAAACGCCTTGATGATCTTATTGGGAGCATCAAGGACGGGCGCTTCCGCGAGCAAAAGTACCGGCTGAAGCGATCGGGCATGAAGAACGTTGTTTACATTATCGAGAACTACAACATCGACATGGATATCCGACGACAGTACCAGGACGCAATGGACACGGCCATGGCGTCGATCCAGGTCGTCAACGGCTATTTCCTGAAGAAGACAGACACGATTGCCGAGTCCATCCGGTACTTGGCGGCGGTGACGTATATGCTCAAGGAGACATACGAGAGCAAGCCGCTGTTTGTCATTCCAACTCAGGTCCTGACGGCCAAGAATTACTTGCCGCTGGTGAAGCATTTGCGGGAGAAAGAGCCGTTCAGGGGGTACTATATCAGCTATCCGGCCTTTGCGTCGCTGGTGTCCAAGTCGGAGATGATGACGCTGAAGGATGTGTTCATCAAGATGTTGATGTGCATCAGGAGGCTGTCGGGAGAAAAGGCGATTGAGATCCAAAAGGTGTGGAAGACGCCGTATCAGCTTGTCAAGGCGTTTGAGGCTTGCGGGAGTGATGAGAATGGGAAAAAGAAGCAGAAGGTTTTGGTGATGAGTATGCTTTCGCACCTGGTGGATCGGAGGAGTGTAGATAAGGGACTGAGTGAGAGGATTGCTGATGTTTGGGGTTTTCTGTGATACTCGTCGGGGTTGAAGAGGCCAAGAAGCCTTGTTTGAATAATTGTCTTGTATATCAAAGTGTCCTGGACACGAGCTTAGTACATGTCACGAATGGTATCATACTCTTCTCAATTTTTTTCCCTTCCGTATTGAAACCGTAAAACACTTCCATTCAGCACAACCTCAAGAAAACCCCTGCTTCACAATCCCCTCGACAACCTTCTCCAACAACCCCCTCCCCTTCTTCTTTTCTTCCCCCTGGCCCTGTTCCTCAGCAGAAGCAGACCCCAACAACCCCTCCAAATACCCCCTCAAGCTCTTCTCCACATACTTGGCCGTCATATCCACCTCCACATTCACCGTCTCGCCCACTTTTTTTCCTGCCACCACCACCCGTTCCTGCGTGTACGCAATCAACATAACCTCCCACCACTCCTCCTCATCATTCACCGCCGTCACCGTCAAACTCGTTCCATCCAGCGCAATAAACCCCTTGTACACCACATACCGCAACACTTCTTTATTCTTGGGTCTAAACCGGAACGTCAACGCCTCACCATCGGGCGTGATCTTGATGATCTCCGCTACGGTGTCGACGTGGCCCTGAACAAAGTGGCCGCCCATGCGGGTGTCGGCGCGCACGGCCCTCTCCAGGTTCACGCGCGATCCGGAACGCAGGGAGCCGAGGTTGGTGAGCCGGAGAGTCTCGGGGGCGATGCCGACGGTGAAGGAGGCGGAAGGGGTGAGGGTGAAGGAGGTGACGGTGAGACAGACGCCGTTGACGGCGATGGAGTCGCCTAGGTGGCAGTCGGAGAGCAAACCCGAAGAAGAAGAAGAAGAAGAAGAAGAGGGGAGGAGGGTGATGGTGAGGGTTGTGCCGTTTTTGGAGAGGGGGTCGTTGGGGGTGTAGGTTGTCACCTCTGTTTTGGTATGAAAGTAGTTAGTGAGGGTGTTCAATGATGATGATGATGATGGGTGGAAAATCGGGGTGAAAAAAGGGGAGGGCAAAAAGGGGAGAAGGGGGGAACGGACCTCCGATTTCTTCGACTATGCCGGTGAACATATTGGCGGTTCAGTAATTTGAAGGGTACGATGATTTGGAAGGTTGTTTGTGTGGTGTGAGATTGGTTCTTGTTTTGAGAGATAGTAAAGGAAATGTGAGTTTGATGAGGTGAGTCGGAGGTTGTTGTTGGTGGTGATCATAAGTGAGAATGCGCCGTGTCCCCCGTTTTCCGCGGGGTTCCAGTCTCGATTCGATGACAGATGCTGAGTGATGTTGACGGACCCCCCCCGCCGCGCGGATGGACCGGCCTCGGCACTGCTATGTAGGTACCTCTAGCGGCTAATAGTGGGGCTTGCTGTGCCGGGTTATCACAACTTGCGCCGGAGCCGAGGCCGGAGGGAGTGATGATGGCTACGGGGTTATAAGATATTGTAAGTTGTTGTTTGTTTATAGATAATTATTCCAACTAGTATCAGAACACTTCACACAACAAGCAAAATGCTTTCTTACCTAACAATTAACCAAGGGTGTTCTTGTATCCATCTGGTCAGGGTTATGTATGGGAGGACGTCTAGGGTTGTGTAGGGACGAGCTGATACCCAAACATTCCCCCGAGGACCCCGACATTTTCCAGAAGCAACATTCTTCCTCAAAGCAGAAAGCAGCAAGTTTCCATCACTTCTCGAGTAAACAGACGCCGCCTATTCAAACATGGCTTCTGCGTGTCATTTTGAACGAGCCATTCCGGTCTGAATAGCCATGCCGGTCGTCTCCATTATACGAGGTTTGACACAGATCAGCCAGGGGGGGGGGAACAGCGACTTGGGCCCCCTTGGAAAGCGTTCGTTTTGTCTCTGCCCATCTCCCCACAACAACACATTGATCTGCATTTCAAGCTTTAGTCCAAGTCTCAGCAAGGATCTTGGTTGCACGGCGACCACTTTCAGCTGCTGGTGTTTTGAAACTAAGCAAGCCCGTCAGGAACCGGGCAACCACCGGGTATAAATCCATGTGCGGGGGAGGACACCCGTTGCTTGGGGTCAGACCCTCAGATGAGATCGTCAGGGTGTGAAAAGTGTCCAAGTATGGAACTTCGACGTCACTCTTGTCTGTGCCCTTTCTTTCGTTCGTTCAAATCTCCCCCGTTTGTTGACTTTTACTTCACTTCCGTCAAAGCCTCCGGCTGGTTCTGTAGGGAAACTATCTCCCCCTGATTCCTCTGTTCACATTCCCAGTTTTCCTTACCGCTACCGGGCAATAACCAACCAACCACCATGCTCCTCCAACCCATCACCAACCCCAGTAAATGTGTCCGCTACATTGTCGTTCTCCTCAGCATATGGGCCTTCATCTACCTCTTCTCACCCTTCAACCTCCGCCTCGACAAAAACGACCCCAGCTCCGACGACGACGATGAAGCAAACAGGGGCGGCTCCCTCAGCCGGCACGATATCTGCCGCCCCTACGGTTGGAAACCCTACCAGCCCCGCCAACCCTCGGACCCTCCCCGCAAGATATACGATTTAGTTCTCGTCACCACGGAACTCGACCTGCTCGAAGTCCGCCTGAACACCACCTGGGACGCCATCGACTACTATGTTCTCGTCGAGAGTGCCAAGACGTTTACAGGGCGCAATAAGCCTCTGCTGCTTCAACATGCACTCGACTCCTCCTCCCGGTTCGACGCCTACAAATCCAAGATCATCTACCACGAAGTTGAACACCCCGAGGATTTCAACCCCCGGTCTCTTACGTCGGGAAAAGCATCTGCATCTGCATCCGCATCTGGGTCGGTATCATCATCACCATGGCAAGATTTCCACCTAAACGCCATGTTCGATCAAGTCTTTCCTTCTCTCGCAGCTGAAACTGAACCCCCCACCAACCCCAGTTTGAACTCATCATCAATAACTTCCCGCCGTCCCCACCTAAACGACATTCTCCTCCTCTCCCTCGCCTCCGAAATCCCCCGTCCACAAACCCTTGCCCTCTTGAAGGAATGTATCTTCCCGGCCCGCTTAACCCTCTCCTCCAAAATGCACTACTACTCCTTCCAATTCGTCCGTCGACCTTCTTGGTTCTCTCGCACGCACGAGTATGGTCCGGGGTACGTAGACCAAGAGTCCAAAAAAGTAGAGTGGGGACATCCGCAGGCTACGGTCTACAAGGGGGTAGGAGGCAAGACGGTGAAGATGAGCGGGTTGAGGTATGGTTCTCGACCTGGTTCTCGTTCTGGTGTTTCCACTGGGCGTGAAAGTAAAAGTAAACAGTGGCGGTGGACGACAGCAAAAGAGTTGACAGCAAAAGAGTGGATGGACAAGGGAAATTTCTGGTTTTCATTGGCCAAGTGGTTATGGTTATGGGAGGGAAGAGAAAGACAAGGACAAGAACAAACGTTGCAAAACGCCAGCTGGACATGCCAGTTTTGTTTTCCTACCTTGTCAGAATTCCTCCTTATCAACGACGGGGTAAATGGGATGGATCAACATCACCATCGACTCGGCGCCGGTCCTTTTGGTGAAATTGATGAAATGGAAAGAGACAGGATAGTCCGATTCGTGCGAGAGGGAAAAGATCTCTGGGCTGATATCCACGAGCAGCAAGGCGGGACGAAGTGGGTATTTGAGGATGTGGTCAATAACACGGACGTTCCGAGTTTCTTGTTGGAGTCGCCAGAAGGAAAAGAAGGCGGGAGGTTGAGGTTCTTGATGGAAAGGGGAGGGAGAAATGGTGGGTTTAGGGATTACGATGAAGTGTCGAAGGTGGGGGTGAAGGATGGAGAGGCAAGGGAAGAAACTCAGGAGAAGGTGAATGGGAAGTAGGGGTAGTTGAAGTGTTGTTTGGGTACGGAAAGGGGTTAATTAATACAAGTAGAAAAATGACGGGATGAAAGGTCGGATGCGTGATGCTACGGAGCAACGGACAGTACAATCTTGATGATTGTCATGGTGTATCAGTGAACTCATTGACCTGAAAAGAAGAAAGAACGGTTACCACGAGGATTTCATCGAGATGGAGTCAGTATTGATGGGTTTGGAAGGAAGGTATCTCTCGAGTACGGATTTCAGGTCATGGATCTGGCGTTACGATTATTGGTCGGGCTACATATAATTGCTTGGCTCTCATTTGTATCCAAATCTTGTATACACAACCTGCTCACTGCTGTAATCGTCTTTTTTTTTTTTTTTTTTTTTTTTTTTTTTTTTTTTTTCCCTTCTGATGGTAAGAAAGGCACTGCTGTTAAACAAGACACCGGATATGGTTGTCTCTCCGGTGTGGGATCGTGCGTTGGAAGGACCTTCGCATTGAAATTTCACGGTCCGTAAGAGAGAAGTATGTGTTATGTGCGAAAATTAGACAATGGTATATAATATAGCTATTCTTGATGTTTATTCCGATTGTATTCTTCCTCCTCCTTCGACGACGACGACAAGACTTAGAGATATCCATTCATTATGGTGAAATCAACCCCTGCAATTGTGGAAAATTTGCCTGTCCTCGCTCAGTTTTCCTTCCTGATCCAGGTGGATCGGATCCCTCAAAAACTCCTTCTCTCAAAAGTAAAAGCGAGGATGAGAGCTCGATTGTACCCCTGAGTAAGACTGCGTGCAATGGGTATCGGGCTTTGAGAAGTGAAAGTTGGAATTAGGTTGTTATTGTTGTTTTTGTTGGGTACATAGATATCCTTGGGTATCGTCAGAATCGGAGTCGTCGAATTCCCTTGCTGTTCAGTGTTACGGTGTCGTCATTCTGTTTGTGTGTCTCATGCTCCAGGTCATTTTCATTTTTCCATGCTCGTTTACTTTCGTTTATTCCCGTCTCAATCGGGTACTGATCGTTCCGTCGTAGTTTCTCAAACCATTCCCGGACTTAAAGAAGAGCAAAAGCAACAGCAATGCCGGCGCCGAGACCGATCTGGGCAGAGCGGCCGGCGCCACCAGTTGCGGCGGGAGGTTTGGCACTAGTCGACGAGGCACCAGGCATCTCAGACGCGATGGGGTAACCCTCGGAAAGGGTGGGGTAAGCCGAGGCGATGCCAGATGGGATGACGGATCCGATTGTTGTTGGGCAAGGAACGATGCTGCTCACAGTGCCTTTAGGAGGCACGACACTCCCAGAGACGGTATGAGGTGAGTTGCCGGGGATAGCACAGGCGCAGACTAGATATAGATTGTTAGCACCTTGTCATCATTCACATGTGAAAGCAGACATGAACACTAAGACGGTCCACTCACCCTCGGCAGCACCATCGATCACGGGCTGGAACTGAGACGTCTCGCAAGAATCGGCAACGCAGGACTCGATAGCGGCGAAGAAGGCAGCTTGCTTTTCACATTGACAGGCAAAGTCGAAGCCATCACAGCCGATAGACGGGGCGTTGTCGATGAAGCATGTCTGGGCGCAATTAGGGATGGCCTTGACAGCAACGGCGATGCAGCCGGAGACCTTGGCGTTCACTCCGGCAACGAAGAGGGCCCCGGCCACAGGAATCATTGAGAACTTCATAGTGAACAGTTAGCGAGCGACTGTGGTCGAACCTCTGTATGAAGTAATATGATCCGTTGGAGGGTGCTGAGAGAAAGGACGAGTGAGTGACAGAACAAGGTGAAGGACGGGGAGAACCAGAGTAAAAGCTGGAGTGCTCGGTAGGCTAGGACCAGCTGGTTTCCAGAGGGCTGGGGAGGAAGCTCAAAATGAGCTCAGCCCAAGCAGCTTGCAATATTCTTATGCATCAAGGTAGGATGGAGACAACTCTGCCCGCTGCCATGGGTATCGAAGTTCGCCGAGGTGGGGAGCCGGGAGACTATCATGACCCGGAATTGGGTAAGGTTCCGGGAATGCTTGAGGAGTACCTTGCACGAGCAGGGTCTTTCAGCAGAGTTGCCTATCGCGCTTATAAACCAGCTCAAGTTCAGTCTCCAACTTTCGAGGTTCAACCTCTCCGTATCTCACCCGCCGCAGCCCGATATAAAGCAAAGCAGTGCAAGAAGCCGGCTTCTGGGCCAGCTGCATTTGGTGGATGCGTTTCCCTTCTTGCAGCGTTCATATTGCTCGAGATACTTGCGGTTCGACAAAACTAAAGATGCCTGAACGTGGCGAGAAGAGGAGGCAAAAGGGACCAGGGCAGTAAGTGGGATAATCGACACCAAGGTGACCATCTCGGTGGATATTTGGGCAGGTCCCTTGTAAAAAATCATACTATATCTCAACGAAAGCTGGGTTTCTCCGCCTCATCTCTCGGTCTGCCTGCTCCTCTGGGAATGGCGACGGTGGGGGATTCGCTCGGGGAGAGAATCTTCTGGGCAGGAGAGGTGAAGATCGCGCCCTACATAGCGTAGTATTCCTGAGCAGGAAGCATGTGTACATGTGGGTGAACATTGCATTGCAATTTCGCAAATTTGGAACTGTCAACCTATCAGCATCCAGCCTTTACACCAAGCGAACAGCTGTCGTAGTTCACGTTGAAGGATGGTACACTACCTCCGGGAGTTCCCGTCATGGCATCGTGTTCGCAGCCAGCAAGCTACCTACCTCTCGACGAGTGCGTTTCTTGATGCCTCTTCTCGAGCGACTCAAGAGTCAAGATCACTCTTGCAGGCTAGACATTAAGCTCGTATAGAATGCGACCCCAGATCGACGCATCCCATACCTGGTTCTGCCTAGCTGATAGCCAAGAAAACGGGTCGGTTGCGCAACCACGCAGTCGTCGTCCCCCGCAGTTGCATGTGGACCGCAAACCTGTTCCTGAGGTTCCTGAGCCACAGCAACGACGATGACCGCGATTGGCCGAGGCAAAGGTCAGCTTGCGAGGAGAATCTCTTTTGGCATATGATCCGGCGCTTTTCTGTCCTCAGTTTTCGTGGAATTTGTTGACCTTTACACCACCTAGTTCACCAACACCCGGTTGACAGTCACTGGCCCGAACTGGAGATATCGTCGATGGACTCCACGGTTTCGGCAGACGGGGTTGCCCGGTCTTACCCCGGATTTTCCCCGCAAGATCAGAGATTTGGATGGGGCATGTCTGACTCGTCCTCTTTGCCATCTCTGGATACCGACAAACAATGCTGTAGTTGGCCCTAAGCGGCAGCGTCCGTCAAGAGTGGGACTTTGGTGTTTTATAGCTCGGGCTGCTCAAGTCAACGGTGATTGTGACGGACTGACGGACAAGCACAAAGCCGGCTCTGGCGTCAGCCTTCATCCCGGCAGCTATCACATGGCAAGTTTAAGATTGTGAATATGCTTGACCAACTGATGAGACCATTCAGTAGGTGGCCGGCAGCGGTGCCTTCCGACCTAACAAGACCGGTGAGATAGAGTAAGCTTCAAGTCTCCGTCCGCGATTGGAATTACGTGCACCTGGCTGCCTGGCCGAGGCGGCGTCGGACCGTACAAGAAATGAGCATGATAAGCTGACAACCCACGGCAGAGCGGATGATGACAATTTGTTTTCTGTACAACACCGAACGGCCAACGGCACCTCATCTACTTGTGTTCTCGACAGAAAAGCCCGTACAAGACACTTTGACTGATGTTGTATGTACTGCCGTACTCGCTACAGTAAGCTTACACTGCGGGCCATTCAACTGAATGGACGATTGAACCGCCTTGTAGCGCCATCAATGTCACCCAAGCAATGGAATGCAATGCTGTGATTCGGTTGACATTAGGTTGACAGCTTTGTTGGAGGTTCCCCTCATCTGGCTCAATCCCGAACTCCGTCCTATCAGTCTGTCCATCCGTTTACGGAAGTCGGCTCACCCCGCACCCGACACGATGAAGCGCTGGTGATGTTATGCTCTCCACTTACACTGCCTGATTTATTGATGATGGTTTGGACAGAATAGAGAGAGCTACTCTTTGCATCGTCACTCTTTCCATTGCCTTGTTCCCAGTATTTCAGTCCAAGTCTCCTATATAATTCCATCGCATCGACCCCCTGCCGTCTTTACCCTTTCTATAGCGTTAGCTTCAACTTGAATACCCGGACCTCTACGTTGCTACATCGATTGTCCTAACGACATAACATCCCCTCGATCCCGTCCCCCTCTTCCGCAAACTAATCATCACCTTCATCAATAACCATGGGCTCCACCAACGTCTACAGCGACGAAGAGATCAACGTCCTGATCACCGGCTTCGGTGTAAGTCATCGATTGTCCCACCACCTACCTCTCGCTTCACCAACTAACCACCATAACCAAAACCTCAGCCCTTCAAAAAAGAATACCCCCTCAACCCCTCCTGGGAAATCGCCTCCCGCCTCCCCGCCATCCTCCCTCCTTTGCGCGCGAAACAGCCCTCCACGCAAAAACCGCCCTTGATTCCTCGCGTCAACTTGCACGTCCACCCGGACCCCATCCGCGTCTCTTATAAAGCCGTCCGCGCACTCATCCCCAAACTTTGGGCTCCCACTTTTGATTCTTCCTCCTCTTCCTCTTCCCCTTCTTCCACCACCACCGCCTTAGCAGAACCCACCTCCGAAGCCCCCTTTTCCGAACAAGACGCCGCCGCCGCCGCCGCCGCCATCACCACAACTGAAGAAGAGAAACCCACGACGAAATACGACTTTGCCATCCACATAGGCATGGCCGGCCCCCAACCGCGATGGGCCATCGAACGCCTGGCGCACCGCGACGGGTACGCCTTGCGGGACGTGGACGGCGAGTTTTTGCGCGACAAGGAAAATCAGTTGAAAGACGATTGGGTGTGGAAGGGGTGCCCTACTGAACTGCGGACGGATTTGGATTTGGATGTGATTTTGGAAAAGTGGAGGGGGTATGCGCCGCCTGGACTTGTAGCTGGGACCCAGAATGGTGGGGGAGATGAAGATGAAAAAGAAGGAGAAGCAAAGAGAGAGGGGGGTAAGGGGGGAGGAGGAGGAGGAGGAGGAGGAGGAGGAGGAGGAGCAAAGTGGTATGGCAATGATATCAAGAGCGGCAGTAAGGGAGAAAAGCTGGTGATCAGTGAAGATCCCGGAAGGTATCTTTGCGATTTCATTTACTATAGTAGTTTGGCGGAGCTGTATAAGCGCAAGGCGGAGAAAAAGGTGGTGTTTTTGCATGTGCCGTGTGAGGTGGGCAAGGATGGGGAGTATGTGCGGATTGGACAGGAGCTGATGTTGGGGTTGGCGAGGAGTGTGGCGGAGTGGTTGGTGGAGGAGAGGAAGAGGAAGGGGGATTTGTGATGAGGAGAGGGGCGAGTTGTTACCGGTAGTTTGATTTTTGAGACTGCGAAAGGGAAGATGAGATGGTGCGATACACAGCGTTTATGGGTCATGATTTACGATATACACATCGATACGCATCAGCGATCACATAACTTTCCGCTCATAACCAACGAATTTTCTGTCCATTTTTGCAGTCAAAGTAAGTCGTCTTCAGTCCCATTCAACTGAGAAGCAAAGTTGCTTCTATACATTGATGCACAATATCAGAACAAGTGGATCTAAAATGCTTCATATAAAAGGTGGTATCTATCGCTCTTTCTATACTCTATCCAAAGCTGAAAACGTTACGCCCCTTCTATTCCTTTTTTTCTTTTTTGAGTCGTTTCCATCATCATCAAATCTAAGGAACAGTGGTCAACTTCTTGGGCCTGCTGCTAAGAGGACCACGGAGGTACTGAACGGGGGCCTTGACATCAACACCCAACTCGTCCGCAACAGTAAGGACGAACTCGGGCTCCTTCAAGAACTGCCTGGCAACAAGGACCATATCGGCACGAGTCTTGGCACCGTTCTCGCGCTGAATGGTGACTCTGCCATCCTCCTTCTCCTGGACGGTCTCCTTGGCGATCTCAGCCGAGGTGACCAAGCCGACGGCACCAACGAGGAGCTGCTTGCCGGCCTCGTGCACAGCCGCGCGGATCTGCTCAGCCATGTCGATCTGGTAGTAGGTGTGGACGTTGATCTTCTGGTCCTTGTTGTTGCCGCCGGAAGAGACATCGAGGAGGTCGACGCCGAGGTCGGGGAGGATCTTGGCGAGCTCAATGGTCTGCTGGAGGTCCCACGAGGGCTGGCCGGTGTACTCCATCCACTCGGTGGCGGAGACACGGACAAAGAGGGGCATGTCCTCGGGGATGACGGAGCGGACGGCCGAGATGATCTCGCGGAGAACGCGGGTGCGGTTCTCGAAGGAGCCACCGTACTGGTCGGTACGCTGGTTGGAGATGGGGCTCAAGAACTCGGAAATGAGGTAGCCGTGGGCGGCGTGGATCTCAATGAGGTCGAAGCCGGCCTTGAGGGCGCGCTGGGCAGACGCCTTCCAGGCCTCGACGAGCTCCTGGATCTGCTCGACGGTCATCTCCTTGGGGAAGGGGAAGGTCTCCTCGTTGTAGCTGATGGCGCTGGGGGCCCAGACGTTCTCGGGCCAGCCACCCTGCTCGGGGCCGGCAAGCTCGCTCTTGCCGCGCTGGTAGTGCCAGGGGGCCTTGGTGCTGGCCTTGCGGCCGGCGTGGGCGAGCTGGATACCGGCCTTCTGGCCCTGGGAGTGGATGTAGTCGACGATGCGCTTAAGGGGCGCAATCTGAGAGTCCTGCCAGAGACCAGAGCACTCGGGGGTGATGCGGCCGTTGGGGAGGACGCCGGTGGCCTCGAAGATGGTGAGGGGGACACCGCGGAGGGCGAAGGAGCCCAGGTGGACAAGGTGCCAGTCGGTCATGTGGCCATCGTCGGCAGAGTAGGTGCACATGGGCGCAACGGCGAAGCGGTTCTGGAGCTCAACACCACGGATCTTGAGAGGGGTGAAGAGAGTAGGAATATCGCCGGGGGTGGAGGGGAGGGGAGTGCCGGCGGCGGGAACCTGGGCCGGGGTGTAGAAGGGAACACCCGGGGCCGCGGGGGAGGAGGTCTTCTTCTGGGAGAAATCGGTCATCTTGATGATGTTGTGGTTGGTGGATGGGATGAGGTATACAGATGGATGGATAGACTGATGGAAAACGAAAACGACAAAAGGGCAACGAGGGAAGACTGGCGCTTATAGCATTTATATTCCCCGTTCTGGGAGGCCCGAAGCCGTATTAAAACGCATCGTTATCATGGAGCACTAAGTGGGGGTGTTTCTGTGTTGATTACAAACCACCCTTCAACTGACTATCATCGGTGTCGGTTCCCCTTGCCCAGCAGCGGTGTCCCATGGGATCTTGAAATGGGCGTTTCATCCCTCGGGAAAGAAAAAAAAAAAAAAAAAAAAATACAGTTCTTGTTCGGATGGCGTTGACGATGGCGCCATTTCCATTGGCCAATCCCTTTCAGCTGTTAAGAATTGCCTCCAATGAATCATCAATTGGTGTTGCCGAGTAAGAGACGCTTATGGAAATCTTCAGACGGTCTTGGATCGCAAATGTGGGGCTACTGGTACTTTTTGGTTCTATGTTTCGAAATGGGGACAGGTTGTACCTCCAGGGAGAATACCTCTATGGAGGAATTATTTTCCTCGTGGTGACCAAGCGGGCGGTTACTCGTCAGGTCTCTTCCAAAACACTAGTCAGGGACCAATTGACCATGAATCGTACACGACCATTTCCCTGACTAGGTGAGTGTACTGGCCAGCCCACTAGTCAGCGCATTGTCGGTTTTAAGGGACCTGACGAATACCAACTATCGTACCATGGCCATAGCCGGAGACAGTTGGATTGGAAATCCGAATCCAACCAAACCCACCACGTCGCAGGCGGTTGGAGCCCTTTGCGACTGAGCCAAACGCGGTGAGAGGCCGATCGCCAATTCTAGATGGGCTGCGTCACCAATCGCCGCGCATCAACGAGGGTGAGAGATCTCGGCCATTGCCCCGGTGAGTTCTGGGCGATACACCATATTAGTAATCCGCCCGCCTCCCGCATGAAAGCCGAGAAAAGAGCGCGCACGGAAATACCGGGAATCCGGGATCCGGTACTGATAGCCCCCCGGCTGTGCCGTCACCGTCTTTATCGCCGCCTTCGTCTCCGACCAATTACAAATCCCGGAGCAAAGTCCACTATCACCGCCTCAGCTCCCACTCCTATCCGTTCACGCTGGAGAATCGCAACGAGACGCTACACACAATTCTACTGGACGACGGTTGTCTGTCCGATGCAGAACCCCTGATAAACATCTTTCCTAAATAGTGTAAATCCAAAACACCAAAAAGGTAAACAATAGAGGTGGATATCATCATCTATTTTGCACATCTGACACGCGTAAAAATCGTATCGTCTCTAAATGAAAACCAAGCAGCTGATGAGGCGCAAAATCCATACCCGCCAAAGACACAGCACAACGCCTTTCACCAACCGACCCAACAACCCCTTAGACCCAATGGATATCTAGTCTTCCTCTTCTCATTCTTTACCTCAACGGAAGCTCCTTAGTCTCACCGGCGGCGGCCTCCTTGGCAGCCTGCTCCTTGGCCAGCCTCTCCTTCTCCTTCTTGGCCTTCTTCTTCTCCTTCTCCTTCTCCCTCTGCAGCTTCTTGGCAGCCGCCTTCTCGGCCTCAATGGCCTTTTGCTTGCGGAGCTCCTCACCACCGTAGGCCTCGCGCCACTCCTCCAGCTTGGCAGCGGGGATCTGGGAGAACAGAAGCTCAGGGCTGCCAATGGGCTCACCGGCCTTGAGGGCGTCGGCGGTCCACGTGTCGGGGATGACAACAGGGATGTCGGTCTCACCCTCAGCAGCCTTGAGGCCAACCTGTCTGAGGATAGACTGAGCGGTGCCGGGCATGTAAGGGCTCAAGACACCAGCAATAAGGTGGAGAAGGTTGAGGGCAAAGTTGATGACAGCGTTGCAGCGCTCAGGCTCCTCGGTAAGCAGCTGGTTGCTGAGCTTGTTGTCCTGGAGCAACTTGTTACCGACGGCAGAGATGCTGAGGACGGTAGCAAGACCGGCGCGGAGCTTGGTACCCTTGACCTGCTCGTTGTACTCCTTGAGGAGCTTGTTGATTTCCTCCTTGTACTCGTCAAGAGACGCGATGGGAGTCTTGGGGTACTCGGGGACCTTGGCGTCAAGCTTGGCCTGGCAGAACTTGACGACACGCTGGCACAGGTTACCGAGGTTCTTGAGGAGATCGTTGTTGTTGGAGTCAATGAACTCTTCCCACTTGAACTCGGAGTCACCAGACTCGGGACGTCTGGAGAGGAGGTAGTATCTCCAGACATCGGGGTCGATGCCGGTATCCCTGGCGTTGTTGCCAAACACACCGACGCCCTTGGACTTGCTGAACTTGCCACCCTCGTAGTTGAGGTACTCGGTCGTGGACAGGTGGTTAACCTGGGTCCACTTCTCCTTGGTACCCAACTGCGTGCCGGGGAAGATGATGGTATGGAAACTGATAGACGCTGTTAGTCAAGACAGTTGCGATTTGAGTGAGAGTAGCACGCGGGGCACATACGGAACGTTGTCCTTGCCCATGAACTGGTACAAGGTGACGTTATCGGGGTTCTTCCACCACTTCTCCCAATTCCTGCCCTCCAGGTTACCCTCGTCGGTGTAGCACTTGGTAATGGAAGCGTAGCCAATGCAAGCATCGAACCAGACGTAGAAGACCTTGTTGGCGTACTCTTGGTCAGAAAGACCCTCGAGGCCCTTGGGGACTGTGAAACAGTGTGTTAGCTATGGCCGTCAGAGGGACGCAACAAAGACAGGGCGCAAAGACGTACTGGGTACACCCCACTTGAGATCTCTTGTGATGCCACGGGGCTTCAGGCCGTTGTTGATCCAGGAGCGGGTAATGGCAACGCAGTTGGCGCTCCAGCCATTCTCCACCCTGTCGAGCCAGGCAGTGATCTCCTTGTTGAGCTCGTCTAGTCGGATGTAGAGGTGCTTCGTCTTGCGCCTCTCAGGAGTGGAGCCGTCAAGCTTGCAGCGGGGGTTGATGAGCCAGCCGGTACCCTTGCTCTCGTCTTCGCCGGCAGCGTTCTTGTCGGGCTGCATGGGGTCGAGCAGGTTGCCGCACGCGTCGCACTGGTCACCACGGGCACCGAGGTCGTGGCAGATGCTGCATTCACCCTCAACGTAGCGATCGGCCAAGAAGGTGTTGTGTTCGGGGACGGCGCAGAAGGCCTGGGTGGTTTCGCGCTCCTCGATGAAGCCATTCTTCCAGAGCTGGGCAAAGATCTCCTGGGTGATGCCGGTGTGCTCGTCGGTGGGAGTGCGACCGAACTTGTCGAAGCTGATACGGAACCAGTCGTAGACATCCTTGTGAAGGGCGTGGT